GGACGAATAAATCTCGCCCATAGTTGATTCATCAAAATGGCTTCGATACGGAAACATTACCTTGCAAGATGAAGCATGGTACTATAATCTAGCAAAGCAGTGTGAGAAAAAGTTATCTAACGACTATACTACGAGACACTATGAAGTCTTGCGATGAGTCATTACCCCTATGAAGTCTTCATTTAGGACTCAGCAAAAAGTATGGTCTTAAAGTGGCTCTGTTCAGGAAACCGTTGAGAATAAGAACGTTGAGATCAGAATCGATACGCGAGTAAAAACAGCTTTAAATATAAATGCGGTCGACCAGATATTATGATGTACGATAAGATGCGACGTGAAGTAATCCTGATTGAAGTTGGCATCACTAGTCAGGATAGATTAACAGCAATTGAGATCGAGAAGAAGAGAAAATATGACCTACTTGCTAATAAGCTTGGGTCAGAGATGAAATGCAAGACTAAACTAACTCCGTATGTCATGACTTGGGATGGGATCGTAACGAAATTTCAAAACCGCTATGCGAAGGAGATTAGTATATCAGACCACGTCGAGGCATACATCAATCGATAGTTCTCAAGAAGACGCTTGAAGGCAGTCGATATGGATTCCACGAGGACGAAGCGAGAACGATGAGTGCAACAAATCTGAGCGCGGGACAAGTACTGCCAGAGTGCCGGCGATCCAGCGCCATAACCAATAAAGCGAAAATTAAAACTAACCTCCGCATTTTATTTCTTTATTTATTTCTTTACTATTTATTATTATTATTATTAACAATAATAGTAGTAATAATAATAACAATAGCAATAACGATGATAACAATTACAATAATATAAAGATATTAACAATAATAATGGTGATAATAATGATTGCAGTAATACTTTTACAAGTGCTAACAACTGTTATGAGTGAAATCAATGAAAATGATTATGATGACAATAGTGATGTTACTATTAGAAAAAAGTGATAATAGTTTACTAAAAATTTTTCAGAGTTAACTATAAATATCGTTAATGTAATAAACGAAAATGATGATGATACTATGAAATGTTAATAATATAGAAAGGTGGAATTACTATATATGTTAAATTTAATATTATGGCAATTATCATCAAGTATTATAGAGATCAGTGTTGAAACTTTATTATCAATGTCATTTTATTTGATGAATTTAGTACTTGTATCGTAAACAGTTAAAAAAATTGCTATTATTAACAGAAAATGTGAAATGATATGAATTAAAAAAATACAATAAATTCTTTAATAATTCTTTACTACCTTAGTTATATTTGGATTCAGTCTCATCTCTGAAACCTTTCTTTAGACATTCACAACGATCTAAAGTGTGTTTGTATTCAAATCAATAAATTCTAATACCTAATCTGATATCCAAAAAATACTTTGCTTGCAATTAGACAGATAGATAGCCTTATACTTTTGTATTGATTCTACTTCAAACGACAGCTTTTCTATACTCTGAAAAATTAACGCTTCTATAAATACCGTATCTCTTATAATTTTTCTGTTTTCATACTAGTATAATATTTATTTGAAAACTGAAGTTTCTTCTTCGCCAGAAAGTACACTTTTTAAAATTTTCAGAGTGATTCAAATACATTGTTGTATTTGATTTACATATTTGATTACACGAAGAAAAATAACATATGTGTGCATATCATAATTTATTTTGACCAAAAATTATCAGCTGTTATGAATTATTCATTCATTATTTGCATTTACTAATGAAAATTGTGAGAATAATCTTGTATTGAAATGCGATTTATTCATTCAGTATTTCATGTCACACTACGTTTATTTAAAGGATTGCAGAAATTTTTAGCCCAATGAATCAAAAAAGACAAAGCGAGCCACCGGAATCAACAAAAAGCTTGTATCCATCTACGCAAAATAACTGATCGTCGGTCAAGTATCAAATTTTTCATCTGAACCATCAGGAATACCTATAAGCAACAAAATAAATATTGTAACACAACTAGTGCCACTTTTATTTCAATTTTTTGTTCTTTTTGTTAACTTTTTCTTTTCTTATCACCTTTTCAACATTTTTATAATACCATTCTTTTTTCTAACTAAAAAATACAGAGAAAAGCAGCAGCAATTACAGGATCAGGGAGTGCAAATAAAAAATAAGTAAAAGAAATAGCTGTGATGGCGATTCATTGAAGAAAGAAACAATTAATTGCTGCCGCAATTAAAATCAAGATTACAAAAAATTGTAAAAGCTATGATCATAACTCTGAAGGACAATTAAAATCGCAGATAAAAACAATGGTCAAAATAGTGTTATTTACTAAAATACATAATTAAAAAACAAATAAACTGGCCGCAAGCACAAAAAACGATTATTTTGGAAACAGCAGTCTCAAGTTTAGTATATAGTTGCGTTTGAGAGAAAAGAAAAATTAAATTAAAAAAATATACTTAAACTATAACCAACAATTATATGACAAGAAAAAACTATTGTTGTACATTTAAGTACAATCATAATTAATTTAAACAACTGCAATCACAAGAACACAATAGTAATTGAGAAGATATTGCCATAATTCTTTGCATCGTGCACTTGTTCTTGTAAGGTATATACAAAATACATTTTTTAAGCTACTAATGGTTTTGTTCTTTTTCTTTTTTTTTGGATCGTCACACTGTAACTTTCAAAAATATGAGATTCAGGATAAGTGAAACAATAATCAAGAAGCTAATGCGAGAAGACAAATTTGGCAGCAAGTATTATGGGGTTAGTGAAACTACTAATTTTATATTTTTGATTCCAGGGTTAATAATATCGATTATGACTAATTAAAAATTCCATATTGTTTCCAGGACAATTCTTATTTCATGCCTCCAGATCCTTAGATTGAATATCTAGAACATCAGAAACTTAAATATGGCCCTTCTCAAATTCCTGCAGAGTGGTATAACGATGCAGTTGTTGTTATTTAGGATCTATATTATTAATTCGTTGCAAAGTAAGAAAGTACCTTGAAAAAGATTTTTGAATAGCTTCATTCGTCTTTGTTCAGAATTTTGATTTAATATTTTTCCAGTGACTGACTAATTTAATTAAATATAAACATACAGGAACATGCGTTGCATCATATTACAGAACGCCAGTTCAAAACTCCATTGGAAAGGAAATGCATGCTAGATAATGAGGAAACTTTAATTCTGTTAAAATAAGTTGGTAAATACTTTTTGCATATAGTCAAAGTTCCGGTAAAATATGCATTTAATTAAATGTCTTTTTTTAGTTAACTTAATTAGGCCAATGAATATCAAAAAATTATATCTCAATGATCGCAAATATTATCCTTACTCGACTGGTTGAGTACAAGCGAGAAACTCTCTCTTTGGAATATAAACTACAAAAAACCGGAATAATAGCGCCAAGATGGATGTTTTTCTACTTTCCACGTATTTGTGATAAAGTTCTGATGTTTTGAAATCAAATCATCATTAAAAATAAATTTATTTCTTTAAAAATTTTTTAACATCAGTTAAAAAGTCAAAAGTCTTAAAAATCATACTGTCTTCTCATTTCTTATCATATGAGTTACATGGCAAGTATAAAACAAATTTGGGCATTTTTTAAATTAAAAATTTGACAAGAAATAAGAAGACAGTATGATTTTAAGACTGATTTCCTCTTGCTTTCAGATTAATGCTTTCTTGAAGCTGAAATTAGGATATCTAAATTGCAATATGCAAAATACGCCAAATAATTTCTTCGGTAAAATAAAGATTCCGTAGCAACCAAATGTGTTTGCGTATCTGAATCTGTAGCACTGCAATGATACATTGTATAAATTGATTCATCCCACAGTTAGACATTTATCAAGTCGTAAGTTTGTAGATTAGATTCGTTCTACAGTACGGAACTTTTCTTACTGCTTTACCTTTCAAAGTGCGCTCGTTATTATTTTCAGTTGACACTTTGCGTGATAAATAGTTTTATGCAGGCCAAGCGAGATTAGCAAGGAAGCTGCTATCTGAATAAGAGTTCTTATTCTTAGTAGATTCGGCATTTTTGTAGAGAATATTAAATTTGCTTCATCAAACTTGTATAAATATTTTGATTTTAGAAGTTTGCAGCCTTGAAGTTTTAATTACCTTTTTGAAATGGTTGTTAACGAATGAAACTTGAAACGATTGTATTTTATTTAGATGGTATTGAAATGGAGGAATTGGGGTTATGACGTACAGAAGAGTATCAGCCAGAGATCTCAGAACTGTTAATTGACCTACATTAATGGTGTGGGAGGGGAATTTGTAAAGTGGTGAATGTTACGTACATGTTGAGTATTATTAATACACCATTATTTATATCTTTTAACTACACTTTGATTGCTGTAATTTTTGTTATTGTTGCTGGCCAGTTCAAACTAAGCAATGAGCTACGATGGAAGCGAGACTTTATGTATGTTTCTGAGATAAACTCTACTGATGCCACTTGTTTTCAGGTACACTTAAAGATATTGCAAGAAATTAGATAAATGATTATCATTAATACTTTCAAAAATGAAATGGCTTGATTTAAAATTGAATAATTTTTACTAGTATATGGCTTGTTCTGTGTCTCGTAGCTTTTTGAAAGAAGAAAAAAAATGCTGTTGTAGAATCATGTAAGAGTACATTATTACGTTTTTATACGTCAGGATTGTAATGATAAATGGAAGAGTATATTTGAGCATGAATTCAACTTGACCACGATCGATTTTTATGATTTTCCTTTGCATCCGGTAATACTTGACCATAGTGGATATACCACGTACTGCAATATTTCCGAGCAGCGTACTCAGTGCTACATTGATGAATGCAATGATCAGGTCAGTTTATACTTTCATCACAGTTTTTTTCAACAAAACTATATCCTACTTGATTCACAGATAAAATCTGATCGGCTAATTTTTTAATTATTTTTCGTTTTTATTACTTTGAAATTACTGACTTAATACGGCACGAGTAATTAGCTAATTAATATTCTCGAAGTACTTATTAGTTAAAGATTTTTTCTAGTCTGCAACTCGAGTATTTTCACCTTCCAATTTTTTGTGTCGCTTCAAAAAACATCATTTTTTGGACGCAAGAAGTTGTTTGGAGAAAACAGAACCTCTTACATTTCTTAAATGTGATCATACGTGCCATTTGGAGGCACTGAAAAATCTCGAAAAAAAAGATCGTGCATTTCCTGGCAAGGCTAGTATGTTTAACTAATTTCGTTTCAATTTGGCAAAATTTATAAATACTTGTCTTTATTTTCTTTGGTAACCATAAATAATATGAGCGAAATTCCTCTTCGAATATCAAAAGATGAGGTATATGAATTACTTTCAGTTCCTAAATTTCAATCATAATATATGAGGTTTAATTTTCGATTGAAAACAAACTTTTCTGTCAGTTTTATAATTGAAAATGCGATGAGGATGCTTTATTTGAAAAAAGATTTGCAATACGCAGTACACGGAAGTTTTTCAGATGCAAGTTTTGGAAAAACATAAAAATGCAGTAATTAGATGCTTCTTTGTAGGTATTTACGAAGAAAGAAATTAGCAAATATGAACGAGAACTTGGTCTACTTTGTTCCTTCCAGTCGTGTTATTTGCAATGCGAAGATTGTAAGATTATAATATTTCGTATTTTCTTTGTAAATTTTATCAAACTTCAAATCTAAATAGTTTTTATAAAATACTAGTGTTCGCAATTAGTGTTGCGCCGGTGAAAAAAATCTACTGGAACCATTATCGCGTGGTGGCTATTAACAAGGGGCTATTAATCGAAATTTAATTATGTAACATTGATAATATTAGTTATTTGCAGCAGTCTTATGCGTCAGAATTTTACTTAAGCTTTAAGCTTTCAGTAATAGTGAAAGAAAGTTGTGAAAAAAAAGAAGCAGAATCAGCGCTTGCATTGATTTCTCAGTATGTTGCGTGGCATGCATCAGACATTTATGATTGGCATATGCTTTCTGATTCTCTTCATCATTTTCCGACAGGTTGTCAGCAATTAGTTTCAAAAGTGTCTAAGAACGACCCTATAGTTCGTATCATTAACAGTTTTTCATGAGCTCACTATTTCGATCTACACTTTGAAATTTTTTCAACATTTTGTACTTATTCAACTACAGCATATTGACAAATTATAATCAAACATATACCACCTAGTTTTCCTGTGTAGGAATATGCATATTTCTTTGATCACTTCTCTTGGAAATAATGATTTGCCTAAATATTTGTTAAGTAGTCCAGAAAAATTATATTTCATTTGAGAATCTTTTGTTCTTATTCAGTTATCATCAAATAATGTTAAGATGTTAAATAAAGCTTTATGTTTTTTTATTGTTCGGATTTTTCATGCAGTTAATTAAAAAAACCAGAAACTGTTCCCTGTATATCGCTGTATTTTTATCCATCGGCTTTTTACTAATTTATGTCATCCATTGACTGTGGTTAGTTCACCGCTAAAATTACACAGTGACAACAGCACTTATTTACTTCATAATAGTTCGTTTGCTCAGTTTTTTAACTATATTGTTCGAAAATTAAATATCAAATTTTCCAATGTAAATATGGCTTAAATATATATTTCATTATTGTTTTTTATTATTTTCATATGCACTGTACAAGTTTCATTGAAAATTGTGCAACATGCAGTTGATAAGTATGGTACTTCAGAAAGTAATGCACATGCCTGAAATAACATAATCATTATACTGTAAAATTGAAGCATAACTCTCCCAGTAAATTTGGATTAGACTTACTCTAGAATATAGCTGCTTTACAGGACGGTTATACTTTTTTCCCCATTGAGAGACTGATGCCAAATACTCATTAAAGTAATTTTTGCAAATAGAAAAATCCTGATGTTCTAAGGGACATCCTATAACATGTTTATGCATATTCACAAATGACAATTCTTGCAAGTTTCAAAAAGTACTGTGCATAAACTATCGACAATTATTTTGAACACAGTTCATGAAGATAATGTTAGTGTAATGTTTTAGAAGTTATAAAGTTACCATGTTGTTCTTTAACTGCCATTTCTGAAGATGTTTCATTTCCCAGTGGTTCATCAGTTACATTGGCGAAATCGTCTAGTTTCAGTATTACATTCATGTCTGTTACAGAAAACGGAACTTCAGTATTTTCTGATTGAATTAAAGTTACCGCTTTTTCAGTGCTTGTTGAATAATCATCGTTGAGTACTATATTCAGTTTTGGTGTATAATCTTTTTCATATTCGTTGCTTATTTTATCATTCTTCAAATCTGATGGCAAACATCTTCTCATTTCACATACAGTTAAGTAGCTTGGATAAAATTCATGCTTCTCAATTTGTCCTTTTTCTCCATATTTACCTCCATTAATTAGGAAATTCATTTTCACACAACCATCCAATGAGACGTCCTATAAACTGATTCATTCTACAGTTAAGCATTTATCAAATTGCCAGTTCATAAATTAATTAATTCATTTTTTACAGCGGAACATTTATCAAGTTGCAAGTATGTTTTCAAAGAATGGTAAAGTAGTAAAAAATAAGTACCAAAATGTACCTCTTTTTCATCGTTAGTAATAATAGGCCGTGAAAACTGAATCCAGATGCTTTCTACATTTTCCGTTTGGATAATTGAAGCTTGTCTTACGATTAAATCTTGGTGTGTGTCTTTTTTAGGTGGTCTGTATTGATCACTATAAAAATCACCCAGTAAATTCAGTTTTCCTTCCTCAAAAAAAGCGATCACAATATCGAGTGCCTTCAAAATTGTTAATCATTAATAATTGCTGAAAGTTGTGGAACATCTATTACTACATTACAGTTTTAAAATATGACGTCGTGTAAAAAGAAGCAAGAAAATTTTCTTTTCAAAATGTGAATGAGCTCGCACTTGAACATCGAAATAAGTATTTGTGATAGATTTTTGCAGAAAAATTAAATGTTTTTCAATTTGCTTTAATTTAGTTTTTTTTTTCAAAGTCCAAAGCTGAATCGAGAAGTGAAATGAAATAAAAAGTGCACTTTCAAAAGTAAATGTATTAATTGGTTTATAAAGCGTACCAAAATTTAGTAATCACATCAAGTATTTTTAACTTTTTGTTCTATTCTTGTGCTTTAAATATTTAAAAAGAAGTGTCTGACGATCAGCTCAGCGAACATCATAATTTTTTTAAACAAAAACAAATTATAGCCGAATTCCACTTGTAAACACTGATATCTCTAGCGATACCTTTTTATGAGCAATTTTAATTTCGCTTTAAATACATTTATGCAACCTTCATTGTATCACCGAATCCAATGGCTGTGTATCGTTTTCCAGTAACTTTTTTTTGCTTAATATCGAAAACAATATGGTTTGTTTCAGATTCAAACCACCAGTTGACATTGAACCCATTTCCATTATAACCACAAATTAATTTGATAGGAGAAGTCACTGCTACGAAATGTTCGAGTTAAATATTTTTGGTTCAGAATTTTTTTTGCTATTTTTAATTAAATTTGTGAAATTTTTTCATCTAAAAAAATTGTGTAAAGTTGTTTGGAAATATAATAAACAAGCCTCCACTCTTCTTTAAAGGCGTTTGCTACATAAAATTTAACTTATATTGTTCAAAAATAAAAAAACTACCAACTTTTATCAGTACTACTGCTTTGTTCAAGAAGGCATGACTCAAAAATATCACATACAGTTACATTTTCGAGAAAGCTAAGCTTTTGGTCCACATTGGCATCCAGATTAAATGTAGTATTATTTACAGGCAAATGTATAGTCTAAAAGACAAAAATTTAGATTGCTCAATAATCTTAAATTATATGTCAGAATTTACTTGATTTCGGTTTGTAAAAAAGTTCAAAAATTAAACTAAGGGAAATTCTAACAAAGCAGCTGGAAAGATCCGCATCGAATGGATCCGAAGTTGTTAATGGACGAGCTAAGGCAGCGTTTATTATATTCTGATTAGCATTCAAGAAAATTGTTTCAGTGTTGGCCAAAGCATCCAGTACGATTGAATTATCATCCTTTACATAACCATCGATGACGTCAAGCTTACCTTTACTTCCACGTATTCCGAGGTAATCAAATCTTTTAATACTTTTCTAAAAATTCATCCTTTGCTTTTCAATTACAAAGAAAATATTTAGCAAAACCCACTCTATACTTTCATGAAATTATTATTATTGATGATTTATTCCATTTCGCTTTATAATTTCACTCATAAATTTGACTGATTACTTGAAGATTGAAGATGAATTAAGAAATAACGCACATTGTCCAGTTGTGAACTAATAGCAAAACCAATCATGAAATTATCAACTGCAATTCTTGATTTTATGAGAAACACAACACGATCTGATTGAGGATGAAAATGCCATTGAAGGTAGTAATTGGACTGTAGTGACGAACATTGCGGATCACAATTTAAAAATGAAATAAGCAATAAACTCAGAGTACTGAAAGCAAACAAGAAAAGCATCATTGAAGAATATAATTTAAATGCTCTCATTTGTTTTTGATTTCCGGTGTTGCACTCTTTTCACTTCTCTTTCAATGATAAGGTCTTGCTTTTCAAAGCTAGTTTTCGATATTTTAACTATTTTTGTTGCAGTCTTTTTCACAAACAACAATTTATTCAAGTTTCTTGTTGCTGATTGCTAAGCAATGCAGTTATTTATTATTTGTAAATGGTTTCATTTGTTGTTTAATTTCCCTCTTTATCACACTAAATAATTCCATACAATTATAATGTACACGCAATAAAAACATTCGTATTGTTCGCTCTGCGATTCATTCTTTTCAAATATATTTGCTTCTTGATTCTATTTACATCTGAAATCACTGTAATTAAAAAATGTTATCGAATTTTTTAAATTAAGTATTATTTAATTTTTAAAAGCTTTAAATTTTATAAAAATCATGCAGAGGTCGTGAAAAATTTTTCGAGTACATGAAGTTTAATTTGAATACACTTTATATGCAATAATCATTCCATAAAGATTATGTATGAATGAAATTTGTGGAATCTGGGATAACGTACAATAGAAAGATAATATCTAAAAAATGATAATTTAAGAGGGTGAGTGATTGAAAATTTTATTGGCGAATATGATTATTTGAAAACTAAAAGCTTAAACCAAAATAAAACTATCGAAAAAGACTAGTTTAAATAAAGACTAAATAACTCAATATATTTATTCAAAATAATGCGCATTTTGCACTTTTTCTAAAACTAAATAATTATTGTAATATAATACATAAATGATAAAACTTTTGTAATCAATGAATCATTTTTATGTAGCAAACAAGAAACACTCAAAGTTTGCAAATTTTTCTTCTCTTAAATGATTCTTTAAATAATTTTCAAGGAAAATAATAGCAAATTGTTTGCATCACAGTGAACATTTTAGCTGGTGTGTTTCTAAAGTTTAGAGTCAACAAATTAATCTTGAAATTATGCCGCAGTACATAGAAGAAGAAATTTAATTCATTTTTGAAGACAATTCAGGCCACTAGTAACGTCTAATCTGTCAGAGAAACAATCCCCTGCTAACACTTTGGTAATTTAAGTTAATGCGAACTGCAAAATTCAGGAAGAATCAAAATGTCATTTAAGAAATAAAAAAGGAGAGAAGTTCAAGAATGGATAATTGGTGCATATTATATTAAGTGGCAAGTAGGTGGATCAAAAAATGAGCAGGTACTATAAAGGTTGTAGTAATTGTAATGGTAGATAAGAGAACATTATTCTTACGATACATATTCACAAACGCTTTTTTATTGAACGTAGGAATAAGGACATGTAATGTAATTCAAGGTCAGAAAGATGCTGTTTGTAAATAGCTCAAAATCTTATGTAAATCCCATAATGACACTATCAAATTTGGATTAGATCCTTGTGCCCTCAAATGCTGACCTCAAATTACTTTTAAGTAGTATCTAGAAGTTGGTATTCAAAAATCAGAAATTTCTGCTTCATCTCTCCTCGATTAGTAAGTCCCTGTGAATTGATATTCAAAAATACTTGCTTATGCTATTCACCTATGGATGATTTTGCTATGAATGTCATTACTTCAGCTAATGAGAATTGCCTAGTAAGAATGATTTTAATTTTTAATACTCTCAAACATACTTCACTAACAAATAAATAAATAGAAAAATTATCAAAATTAATATTATTGTTTTTTCGGCAATAGCAAAATTCTTAATTTTCGTAAAAAAATAATTAATTAACTTTATTGAAAATTTTCACTTGTAAAATCATATGAAAAAAATTGTAAGCTGTAGAAAAAGCTGGTGATAATTTTTTTTCGAAGATATTCTAGTGATTGGAATTGAATAATTTTGGAAAGTTTTTCATAAGACAATTAACAAGCACCACCATGCATAAACTTTAAAAAGTTAGCATTGTTAGAAGCAAATTGATAACCTATGAAAACTAATACCAGCAAAGTGTGATCCTCCTTTTTCAAATAAATTTGTATAATTAAGAAAGTGGCAGAATTATTATAGTTATTTCAATTATCAATTTCCGAGTCCATTTTAACCATCCTATTCATAAGTTTAGATTTTAATTTCAGATTTTATCATTTATTTCATAATATCTCATGTATTTTAATATATTTCAAGGAAAAAATTAGCTATTAAATTAGAAATAGTTGTTCTTTCATCAAATTTTTATAAATGCAAATTTTAACTATAAATTAGAATTGAGCCCTGCTTCTTAAATTGCTAGCATAATTAGAATGAAAATAATTTGCTTTTTGTATGAAAATCTAATAACAATACGCTAATTAAGAAAACTTCATGCAACAATTGGTCAAAAAGTTAACGCTTGTTTAACATGAACTTTCATTTTCAGTTTTTTCCCTTCAAACTTTTTTTATGTTTTTGAATCTGAATAAATAGACTTTATAACGTGCAGGAAGTTTTGTTGTCATATGATAATAAACATATCATTCAATTTTCAGACGACTAATTTGATGTGCAAATTGCAGAAATTTATTGCTTGCTTAGAATCTTTCAAAAACAAAAGATTTACTTATTTTAATTGATTTGAACAAAAAAAAATTACAATACTTCATTTCAGAGTAATAAAATCTCATCATTGACAATATGTATGATTACTTTTCTATTAGTCACCACGCAATTACCTGCTACATACTCTTGCGCAGCAACTCCGCCAGTAGTACTTCCAGCTCCTGCAGGTATATCTATATTCATAAACTTTATTTTAATCATAAACAAAAAAGTATTTTGTTACCTAGTGCTCGAACCATACCGCTCAAAACAATAATCCAGTTCCCATGTTACAATAATTTTGTTTATGACTAGTTGCGGTGCTAAGAAATGAATGCTGTAGCAAATGAATTTAGCATAACTATAAATTTACTGAAACAATACAATAAAATGATTGTTTCAGTTTGTTGTCAACCATTAATCAAAACTCTGACAAATAATACAAATCTTGAGAATGGTGTCATGACCTTCACTTATAATAGTTTAACTTGTCGAAGAACAGCTACTGCTATTTGCACGTGAGAATTTTTTTCAAGTAATTTTCATATTAAAAAAAACATATTATGAATCTTTTCTGTACTATCCATTCATCAAAATTTGAATTGGATTTAACATGGAGCGTATTCAAAACTTGCAATTAATATTACTGTTCAAATTGTACTTATTGAAAATTAAAACGCAGGCAACGAGCAGCAGTACCACCCTTGCAGTTGATGGCTGGCATAACAGTAAATCAAGTTAATTTTATCAATATCCAACAAACCAGCGTATCAATCACGTTATCGTGTAATAATATGATGCAGTGGGAAACTGGAAATCCTCCTTTAGTTGTATCTACAATTCAATGTGTTCTTAGCAGCACACCCTGAATTTTTTCTTTATCGTCGTATTTTGAGTGGTAAAAAAATAAAAGGTATATATTATTATTAATCATTAGTCGAACATATTAAATAACAGAAATTGATCCAAAGTTATGCGAAAGTTAACAGAGAGGTTATTTATTTAAAAAAGTGATTCATGAATTTTGAACTAGTCTCAATTAATGAAACGCTAAACCTTTTTTCTTATTTGTCTAAAACTAATCATAAGATGTGCTAACAACAACATATCAACAGTTTTTTAATATGTTTCTAGTATTAAAATCAATTTAGAAGGTTCATAAATTTTAAATCATATAAATGCCATGTTTGATATTTAGTATGGATAACCAAAATGTGTTATCAATTATCATGGTACTTTGAAAATCATAATACTATTTTCATAACTGAGATTGTAAAATTAACTCGATTAACTGTTTTCTTTAATGTCTAGGAATAATTCGTTCACTCTAGTTTAAAAAGTGCAAAATTACTTTCTTTTAACGTATCTGTTTCACGGAATGAAAAAATATGATATTAATAAACTATTAAAGAACCAGTAATTGATATGCAAGAATTTTGGTACCAAAATTACAGAACCATATTAATGCGAAGTATACTAGTCAAGTTGACATTTCATTGTAACTAACTTTTTCAAAAGCTGATTATATAAAAATAATTTGAGTTTATTGCCATAATTTCTTTTTCTCTGCGTGACAATAATGAGTAAAGAAAGATTGAAAAATTATTATTTTACTGATTTGTTTAAGCAAACAACTAAAATCAAGTATAGTAAATTCAGTTTCTGAAAATAACGTGCAAAAATGAATCACGAGGAAGACGCAACTTTAGCATATTTCGGGCAGTTCTTTAAAAAATGTGAGCATTGACTTCAAAGTACTGGATCGCAGTTTTCTGCATGTGTCATTTAATTCTTGCAGCTACAAAAGATTACCATTAATGAAAAAGAAGCTATGAATGAAAAAATTGATTCTCGAATCATAAATAACTTTTCATGAATCTATTAATTATTTATTTACTTGTTCATCTAGCATGTATCGATAGTTTTGCATTTAAAAAATATTTAATTCAATCCAAAAGAACTAATATTTAATTCAATTTGCAATAAAATCTTATTACGGAGTTCCATGAACTCTGGATGTGTTGTAAAATAAATTATGATTTGTCACAGAGTGGTTTTTCTTAATGCCCCGGTTGTTTTAGACTGTAACGAATACCTTAGAGTTGAAAAGTAAACATGCATCAATTAAAAAATAATAAATAAGTTTACTTACTAATCTATGCAATCTTCAAGCATATTTTGACAAATTGACATTCAAACAAGTTAAATATTTTTGGCTTAAACTAATATTCTTTCACTCCTGTTTACTTCAACCTCAAAGACATTTTACTTCTGACACAGAAGTTTTGTTAATTATTTCTTGCAGGTGAAAATGCAGTGTAAATGGTAACATTAATTTTTCAAATTTATTTTTTCCCATTGAAATTTGACTAAAATGCCTATTTTGATTTAAACTGCTATTGCCATTCTGCCAAGTATAAATTTCAAAATGCATCGTAAGTTCAAGTATAAAATAATCAAAATTAAAGCTTTAGAAGATATTTGTAACGTTAGAATAAATCAACATATGATTTTTTGCATAATGATATAGTAAAACAGTTTTTTACTTATTTTTTTCGTTTTACGTCAAACAACTGCATACAGTATTAAAAATTCAAAGTTTCAAAGTTTTGCTATTCACATGTAAACAGTTCTGAAGAACGGAGGAAGGAGAAAAAGTGCAAATAGCATTCTATTCTCAACGTAATTAATTATCTGAAAAACTCTAACTTTAAAAAAGAAGGAATAGGAAAAAATGAAGTTTTTATAATCATTCATTCACTGTGAATATAATTAGAAAAATGAATGCTGGTGAAATGAGTTGAAATAAATGAAAAAAACCTGCCTATTTAATTGTCTGCATGCTTAGTTTTTTTTTTCCTAATAGTTTCGACAACTTTTTGATGGACATTAATAAATTCCTGCAAACTTACTGTCATCAAAGCATCATCACTAAATTTATCAAAAGTGATGCAAGAAATAAATGAATAAAAAAGAGGATTATTGGCAATACATGTACGGTGCTTGGTTTGCTTGCAAAGTGTATTTAAAAAATGAAAATTTTTTCATAATTGTAGTACAGCATTTTTCATTTAAATCATTCTTCTATGTTTAATATACTTAGCATATGCGCCATTTAACTACGATTTTCTAAAATTGGATTAAAAATCAGTAATATAAAAACATTCATACTTTCCATGAAAGTAGATCATAATCGGCAAAGACAGGTTTGGTTTTGTTGATTATTATCTCATAATATTTTATTGATGTGCAGTGGAATCTTTAAGATAATTTAGTTTTGGCGCAGTACAATGAATCTATCACTGTCAATTTATTGAAAAGAAAAAAAACCTTGAAACACAGACGAAGAATCTTGCCTCACAGAAAACTAATTCAATAAGAAGATATTACAGTGCAAATCTGTATTAACTTTTTATTTGATAACTTTTAAGGTAATAATCTTGTTTATTAATGCGCTGTTCATGATTTACCTTACCAAAGGTTTTATTCTCATACATTTATAATTCGAAGCAAATCATCATGACCTGGTTGAAATTAGACAGAAGTGATAACCAATAAAGACTTTTCAAACAGCGTTGCAGCACTTATAATACAATATTCTGTATTAAAATCCTGAAATTATGAGTGATAAAATATTATTCTAAACTTTAATTTAAGATGCATGGCGAAGTATCACTATAGTTGGAAGATTCTAAATTGTGCATTAATGTATCAAAAAGGATGACGATAACAGCAAAAAAGTAATGAAAATTTTGATAATAATGGTATGATGTTATGAAATGGTAATTAGAGCACTGATAGTGGAAATTCTGACACAGGTAAAAACTGCAGTGGTGTTTAATGATGATGGTGACGATAGTTAATGATGATGATGACGATGGTAATAGTCATCAGAGAGATGAAAAAAGTAATCACAACTATAATCGTAAAACTAATAAACACCAGTATTTTACTGAAATTTTTTAATCATTGATTTTAGGCTACATTGTATGATAGATTTTCTTACATGCCTACGACCGAATTTTGCATTAACAGCGAGGAAACATTGCACATAAAAATTTTTTTAAAAATTTCAACATAAAGGGAATGAAGCAAGCAACTGGTTGGCGCTATCGTCCTTTGCGCCACCTACCGCAGTCGCTCTCAATGCTCGCTCGCCGTTTCCCACTGCAATACAACCAAATTGTGGGCTCTGTTGGTCTGATATCCCTTGAAATATAATTTGCACTTTGAAATTGCGCTATCTATTGTTGTATTCTAAATTAGATTTCAATTTGTCATTTAACTTTTATTATTATTATTATCATTATTATTACTAAAACGATTATCATTCTTACAATCATCCAGACAGTCATATTCATAGTAATAATAATCGTTATCATGAATATAATCACAATTGTCATCGTGCCTTAATGGCATGCTCCATCTTTTCACAGTTATCTTTCTTACTCGCGTTGTTACCTGTTCTTGAGGGTTGAGAAATTTCAACATTCTTTTTAATGCACCAAACACGCAACTTATAAACTTTTGTCATAGTACACGCGTGATGAAGCATGCAAATGCGTGGCAGTGCATGCATGGTACTGCTTCGCGCTTTTTATACTTATTTGCAGCCAAAGCACTGCATTAGGCAATGTTTCCTCCAATCAAAGCATAGTTTAGCAAATAGATAGATAAATGGATTGAATTAAATAAATAAATTAATAAATATAACAAATAAATAAACAAATATATATATAAAATGATAGTTCCTGTATAAAATGCTTTTATTAAAAAAATAAAATACAGCTAGTAGGATAAAGTGGTGCATCGTTCAAGGCCTATGCTTTTACAAACTTTTACAATGAATTTTTTTGAACAGAAAAAGTGCTTGGTTCTATTTTTTTGTTTGTTTCTGCACAGTTTCTATAGAAAAGTTCAAGTAGATGGATATTTCCGTGCAATTCTTTTTCACTTATCAGATCACCACAAGAATGCAAGTTATTTGCCTCAACATTGTTGTCACTTTGTGATCATATAGGTTACTTTTGGACTTTAAATTATCCATGTTGCTCAGTATTATTCTGGTGTTTTCTTAGTTGTACTCATTTTTACTAGACAACTTCAAGCGGATGGAGCTGTTGCGAAAAAATGACTGAAATTTTTTCATTACCTTCATTCAGAAGCAATGATATTCATTTACTATTACACTAGAAAGGTGCACTCATAAAAATTGTTCGCCATGCTCAAAGGTCCACTGGAAATTAATGCAATGCATTTTGTGATGAAATTTTATCAAAATGAACTAAGATGTAGCGAAATACAGTCATCATCAACAAATATTTGGTACTTATACATTTATTAAATATTCTTTGTTCAGATCTTCAAACAATGGCTGAAAAGCAACGGATTAATAAAGAATCTGAAAAAAGTTCAAAGGAATCACAATTTTGTAAATTCGGGAATGATCAAGTGGAACAAAAAATACAAGTTGATCGTAAGCGCTTGGAGTCGATGATTACAGGCTTGTTTTACGCAAGCAATAGCTATCTTACAGAGATAATTAAGTAGTTGTAAATTCAGAATGTAAGAAAGAAATTTTTTCGCTCAGCTATACTTTAAAATTTTTGGAACATGCATGTAGTTAGTCAAAAATGCATATACTTGATTGCACATACTATATGGTGATAATTGTAATTTTTGAGAATATTAATTATCAGATAATCCTCTTTCTTCTTTAAAAAGTTTACCATTACTATTTTAGGCAAACCTTTGCACGGGTCGGAAAAATCATTACCATCTGCAGAAGAGTTTTTCCTAAAAGTTTGTTTTCCTCTTTATATTTTGATCCAATATACTTGAGTGTCAAAAAAGTTCACAAAATTTATTAAATACTTAAGTGTTTTTTTCAGGTCACTGAACTTTCTGGCGCCCTTATTACCTGGCCGACTCGTCTGAAAATTGATGCGAAAACAAAAAAAGGTAATAGATAAAATCAGTAAGCATGGACAATACTTTTAGACTTTTAGGAAGAATATCAAACTAAGAAATAGTTTATTTCAGATCCTTATGTTAAGATATCGGGAACAGTTGACCAAGTGAACTGTGCTCGTCAATTAATTGCATCTACACTTAGGATAAAGGTTGAGTTACTGGACAATCTTTTAGTCATTTTTTATCATAAATTTAATTCACTGTAAGTGCAGCTATTTCTATTGATTCTTTCCGATTAGTACTTTTTTGTCAAAATTAACTCTTTTTGCAGCGAGATAAAGTATCATTAAGAATCGAAATACCCCACTGTGATCATTCAAAAATAATAGGACGAAAGGGTAAGAATACTCAAGATGTTATGCGTGAAACGATGTGCCATATCCACTTTCCAGATTCAAACAGAATTCATGAACTGGAAAAGAACAATCAGGTGTTTTATTTGCTCTCAAGATAGCTATTGAACACTGGATTGATGCGCATTGATATAACATTTAGCACTATTGATGAAGTTTAATTACTGGTTATATTTTCTAAATAATCTATTAGTAAAAGATTTTTATGAACGATAGACAGTCTGCTAGCAGCATTTATTTTACTTTCATAATATTTTCGATTACTATTTTTGCATTGCTCTCGACTTTCAGTTTACACTTTGCTCTTGATTAACCGAATTTTATTTTTATAGTAAACTAAGAGAATAAAAAAGTATGCAGAGTAAATAATAGGATTTTCATAATTAGGTATCATTGTCGGGAACAGTACAACAAGTAGAAAAAGCACGACAACGACTACGAGTAAGTTTCTCAAAAAACAAATATTACTTTATTTTCCAGAATTTTTGTAATCAAGTTATCATAAAATATGGATAGAAAATTTTTAAACTTTTGCTGAATTTAATGCAAATATGGCAAAAAAACAAAGAATCGTATTGTAATAGTTGAAGAAAACACGAGATTTTTTTTTGTTATTTTAATATTTTATATTTAGAAATTATCCCCCTTATGTATAATATGCGAATTATCGAATACGCACCGCTATTGTTATCAAGAATTGCAAAGAGTCATTGGGCATCCTAATATATTTATAAGTTTACGAGAGGAGAGAAATGGTAAAGTTAAGTGCATTTTGAAAGGAATCGAACAAAATGAGATAGAAATGGTTAAAGCAATGATGGTTCTTGCTAATATGTCTCATTTAAAAGTTCGTTTTCAATTTATAGTTAATTTTTCCATTTTAAAATAAATTTATGAACATTTGCTCGTGCATGAACTTTCTGATTTAATATTGTGCTGCTTCTTTCGAGATGAGGAACAAGATAACATTTCTACCAAACATTTGTAACTCTAGAGGATTTAATCAACTTTCTTAAATTAAGTAGCCCATTCAACATTTTTTATTCCAATAATGCTTCAGGATGATCAAAGCTTGTATTGTCAAACAGTTATTAGCTCACATTACTGTCTTGAAACTATATTGTACAGTGGCTCAAAAAAAAAAGAAATGCAGTGGATAGCAGAACAAACTTCAACGCATATCATCCAGTCGGATACAGCAGAAAATGGCCTCGAATTGTACATTTTCGGACCTATCGCTGGTGTTTTAACTGCACGAAAATATATTATGGTGTAGTTTTTTTTTACTTTTTTTAAAAAAGTAAAAAATTTTTAAAAGTTAAAAATACATGAGGATAACTATTATTGCTTTTTTAAACTTTTTGCTACTGCATGGAAAAGATTTATTATTACGGTTTAGCTTTAAGGGTTTACTGCCAGTATCAGTTCAGTTTGATCGCATATTAGAATTTGATTACGATTTGATTGATAAGGCAGACATTGAAGCAAAATTCGGTGTTACAGTAAGTGAAAAGTGGCGAAAAAGTCGAACAATTAGTAATGTTACTGTAAGTTTTTTGATCATTTTTAATACGTCTAATAATTGACTGAAATTGGAAACATTTTTATTCCAAATTCTGGCTACAATAAAAATTCCTTATTTTCTTGCATCGCTTCGTTAAAAATTCAGTATAAAAAGTTCTTTCATGTATTTCTTAGTTGCATAATACGTGGAAGTTTATTTGTAGAAAATAAAATCGAAACTTGGAAGAAAGTATGCTAAGGCCAGTCATGAAAAATTATTTCAGCTTGTAGTTCTCACTGGTAGTGAAATGAATATAAGCATGCTTTATCAAGCTCGAGAAAGAATCCTTAATTTGGTTCAGAACAGCTCAAATATTGTTCCGGATGTTTTTGAATCATTCAAAAATGGTCAAATACTAAATGTCATCAAAAACATGCGCATGAAAGCGCAACAGTCACTAGGTACGTTTTTAAGTTTCATCCTTGTATTCTAACGAAATTGAAGTATTTTAAAATTTTTTTAGATTATTTTATTTTTTGTTTTCAAGTTATTACTTTTTTTCATTTTTTATTCCAAAAATTTTTGTTTCTGATACAGAAAAATGAGGAAGCCGAAAATCAATGTATTATGGAACATGATTACTTCCTTTCTAATATTTAATGCAGTCAGCGACTGTTATTTGATTCAACTTAAAAACAAAAGATTGTTGTAGAAACTTTATACATTTAAATATAAAATTTATTATCAAAGTCTAAATTTGAGAATTTTGAAGATTTGCGTCGCTTAACTGAAGCAACAGTGAGTCGATCAGCAACTGAAATTGTATGTTTATAATGCTCATCCTTGTTCGTGAAATGCCATTCTCTGATTTCTCTAGCGATTTAAACTCCTTCTTTATAGTTCCAAAATGCATATATATTCTGTAGTTTTATTTTTTCGACATTAAATTATCATATTCATTTCATTTCATATCAATATGCAGTTTCCATTTGTCATTCTTATGAAGGGAACTTTTCCAATCGGTTGGTTTTTATTAAAATGAAAAATTAGACAGAATAACTATTTTGTTAGCTAAGATGAAAATTTTGCACATTTAGTTGCAAAACCGATATGCACAAATCACTCCGAATCCAGATGACTCTCCAATTGCACATTCCTTGCTTACCGGAGTTAAACAAATTGATATGTCCAGAAAGTGAGTACGCATCTCTGAAAATGTTTGCATTCTTTAATCTTATAAAAGTGGTATTTTACTTGATATAAAGGCACATATGTAATCACTTTATTAGTTCATCATATTTTGAATAATATGATGATTTTCTTGATCCTTTATTCAATGACAATATGTTGGAGTTAATTGCAATACATAAATCTTTCAAATAAGTGTATAAATAATATAAAAATGTCTACAATAAAATTTGTTAGTGAAAAATCTTTAAATTTTTTCTTGCAGTGTATATAAACGTTTTTCAACAAGAGAGCAATTGCTTCTCAAAGCTAATCGTGGTTTGTATAGTTTTGTATTTATTTAAATATATTGTTTTGTTGGAAATATTGCTTTAGTTTAGTCTTCAATACCAAACTTGATATTTGTTTATTAAGATCAAATTTTATACACTATCACATTTTATGATCTGTAAATCTTTTAGCTATTTATAATGGAACATCAGCAAAAGTACGACAACCAACTGATCTTTGGGTTGGGTATGGTTTTAGTAATTCCTTACCAGCTGATATTCTGAGAAATGGTCTGAACGTTTTCGATTATACTGCTGGTCAGCACCATGAACGATCAAATATGGAGCAGGATGCAAACCATATCAATAGTATGGTCTGTAACTGCCATTAACCTTCTACTTTCATCAGTGATAAATCATATGTTATTCTCTAATTCCTATATATTTTTTATTATCATTTGATTAATTACTACTAGAAATAGAATATCAACATTTTCTTTTTTTAAAATTATTGTAATGAAAAAATAATGATTCCAACCAGTCTACAATAAGCAACAATATGCAAAAAAAGTTTAATATCATTTTGATTTTGCGATAAATTGACAGTAGAGATGTTTGAATATTAAAAGGTGGTAACTTGATTTTTTTCGACATGTAGTCATAGTTATCATGGATTTATATAGTAAGACTAAGTCTAAGTTGAATACATATTCATTTTAAGACCCAGCGATCAATCACACCGTTAGCAGGCTTAGCATCTGTCTTGGAAGAAGATGAGCATAGTGATGAAGTACAACAAAATTCAAATTCCTTGATTTCATCTTTATCAACTCATAAATTCCAACTTTTCCAACCAAATCAGTTCCAAACACCTTTCACTACTAATGGAATTGGCGGAGGTTCGGCATTTTGATTATTACTCTCCTCATTTTATTCAAATATAAAAGCAGCATGAATGATCCTAATTTTTCACATATCCATATATAAAACATATTCGATCATTTCTTTGTTGCTGGAATCTATCTTTACCAAATTTAAATTGCATAATATGTAGCTGTTTTAAATTGATATGGAATAATTACTATTCGGAAGAAAATTATCGGTAACACAAAAAGAACAAATGATGGCGACATTCATGAATTTGGTAGGTTGTTGATAAAACGTATATGCTCTCAGTCAGCAAATCAAGTGCTTAGAAATTAAATTAAATTTTTCAAGATTTTTCTGCATCAACTGGTGCATTCGACTCATCATCGTTGATAGGAAATGATTTTGTTTGGGATATTCGCATTTTCGTCGATCCAGCAATGGTTCTTGCCCAACTTAACTGTAGTGAATATCTTCCACAGTTTCGGGATCAAGAAGTTTGTTCGCAGTCTAGTATTATACTGATAATAAAATCTTTTAAAATAATGCCTGACAATACATGCTCAAAAAAAGAATCAAAATATTATAAGCATGGAAGTGATTCTTAGAATTTGTAATGTGTTGCTGCAAAAATTCCATTCTTTGCATTACTTGTTCATAAAAATTAATTTTAGAATATATGTCAGTAGAAGTTTTCAAGTTTTCAAATTTTGAGATTTCTCTAGATTGATATGGAAGCATTTTTATTGCTAAACAAGCAGAATTTGAAAGATATTGGTGTCTCAACAATGGGTGCTCGGAAGAAAATTTACAACGCCATTCTGAGTATGCTTTTCTTTCATTGGTATTTTGAAGTTACCTGTATTCTTGTTGAACATTTCTATCTTTGCAAAAGTAATAAATTCAAATTAAAATTTTGTTTGATTTTATATATTTTAGCGAGTAAAGATGTTGTAGAGCAATTTCCTTCGCTTAATACAAAAACTTTTATTTGACGATTATAGATAAATAAAAAGTTATTAAAAAAATTGAATCTGCTTATTTATAATAAGTGGATGGTTTTTTTGTATACTTACCTGATTATATTTGAAGGATTACGTAGCTCTGCACGAATGTATGGAATGCAATTTTAGCTAAACAGGACATTATTTCAGCAGCATCAATAAGTGATATAATTATTTCAGCAGCATCAATAAGTGATATAATTTCTGACTCAACATTTATAAACTTAATTTTTTTACCGAGTGGTAGATCTTATCATCTTAACTATTCACAATACTTTCTTCTATTTTTTTCCTCAAGATGTAATTTTTGTGACTTGAAATAAAATAACAAAAGATACAGTTTTCGTAACGTAAATATTGCTTTCAATAACTTTTTAGTGTGAAAAATTAATGATAGGCTATATTGAAGATTGTTTCATGGCAATAAAACTATAATTCTTCAAAAATATGGTAAATCATTGTTTAACCGCTTATGATTTCATTTTTTAAAATTGCTTCATAATATTAATAATTGTTTCATATTAAGAATATGCATGTTTTTTTTCTGAAGCAGAAAATAACCAGGTGAAAGCATCATTTGGCAGCAAGATTTCATCTCAGGATTTCAAAAATACTACCTCAAATTTTGAAAGAACCAATTACTCTTATTACTTACAGGCACAAAATATCTTCCTATTTGTCCTTAAAACTTGAGTGAAATTCAAAAATATTCACAGAAACTAACCGTTATTGGAATTAATTATTTATAATTCTAACAGGAAAAGAAAGGCATATGTCATGATGATAATAATTATTGCGGTTTTTGTTCTTCTAAATTGAGACGTTTTAAGTTGATCATTCACATTAATCAATTCTACCCTATTTTTTTTCCTTTACGACAATTGACTACTTTGTCCAGTTGTAGTTCTTTGTATAGCATAACTAGTAGTGGTTCCCAGTAAATAACTGTAAATTAGTTATTCATATTATGCTAATTACATAAATGCGTTCTCAAAGATATGTAAGTGTAAACTGCTAGTAAAAACATTGTCAAACATCTTTATTCATGATATAAACTGTGTTGCATGATTTTTGTGCAAAATTTTTATTCGTATTTGCATATACTTATGATCTGTCAAGTTTTTCGCAAGATTGTAAATATATTTTTCTGATGATGAATTTCGCATTATTCTATGGCTGCGATCATGCAATTATTTTTGAAAATTTATCGTTATATATTGCTATATGGTAGCTCTATTTCATGACATCTTCAGTTTAACAGATTTTAAAGTTTTTCTTGTTTGCTGAGGTACTTCCTTTTTGAAATTTTGTATTTATTAAGCGAATTGAGTTGTACCGAAACCTTGCGTCCAAACTTGTTAGTCGATTATAAGGAATTACGTCATGATTACTTTATTAATTTATTTTTATTTTGATATTTGTTGCATAAAAAGCTGCAATTCTTTTGTAAACATTGAATGTATCGCTTTTTAACTACAAAAATTTATAAGAGAAAAAAAATAGCAAAAAAGTGTTAATCTGTTTACTTTACATCGTATTCCGAGCAATAACTTGAATGAAATGAAATGAAACGAAACATTAAACAGTTGAGTAGGGAATTGTCTGCTGATCATTCATGAGTTTAAAAAAATTTATTATCATGTCTGATTATTTGTGAATTTAAAAAAAGTTTTTTTTTCTTTTGCAGAAGTGATTGGACTCTTGTAGATTTGTCGTGGTCGTTACTTTCTTCATCGTAGACAGTTTTCACCAGCTAAATATCTATTTCAGCAGTTCTATCAAGATTTTTCATCAACGTAGCATTCTATTTCACTCAATTCTCAACGTATTCTTATTAACCTTTTCGTATGGCTACTTTTTCACTTTTATGAAATGTCAAAAGTTCAATAATGAATATTTAGCCGTACAAAAAAAATACAAAAGAGATCATAATGAGATAATTTAAGTTGGCCAAAAACTAAATAAATTGAACATTGTTTTAGTGAAGAAAAATGTTGCAGTAGTTGAAAAGCCACTAGATGGAAAGCTGCTAAAATTGAAAAACTTGCAAGTTTTTTCAGTAATTTATTTCAAAGCATCATTTCCGTTGTAATGTTACTTAACACAGAAGTTGATGCAATTTTATAAGTGATTAGATTGTATAATTATTTATGAATTTCAAGTATTAATTGCTAAAATTTATGATTTTGCTTGTTACAAATACTTTTAAGTAGATGAAATGATTTAATACATCGACAAGCAAATATGAGAAAGTTGAATGATAAATTCGACAAAATTCAATAAAATTAATGAGATATTAATATTCCTTTAAAGTTTGTTTTGAACGTTGAAATCCAAATCTATTTTTACTGATATTTCACTGAAAAAATGATTAACTGTTATACTAATGTTAAGGGAACTATTTAGTTATCTAAAATGAGACGGAGGATTCTCGATTTCGGAAATGCTTTACGTCTTTTCTACTTTCATCGAACATGAATCTTGTTATCAAATTTCCATTCCATACATGGGAAAATTTTTGGATTTCTTTGCATGTATTGCTCCATTCGTTGGAAAATATCACAGCTTTAGGGAACTGATAGGCAGTGTTGATTAACGATTTAAATCTGATATAGTTTGAGGCATAAATATGGAGGATATCAAGGAGTATTTCATTCCGTATTATAGATTTGTCATGAGAAAGACACGATTTATAAGGAAGTTTATAAGTAGAGCATGAAATATATGTTCAGCTGCACTCATATTATTTTCTTATTGCACTATAAATGCTTTTTGAGTTTTACTATGCACTGCGAAATCATTGTTAAGCATATCGTTATTATTTATGATTTTGGTGTAATTAATTGAAATTTATTCATTATTGGAAGTAATAATAAATTATTAGGTTCATAAGTGCATTAAATTTAGCAACAAACACAGTGCAACTATTTCAGCTTAACAGTGTTACTTTTCTTTTGTCTAAATTTGGTCGTTTCTGAATAAATAAATTTATCGCTTCATCTTGGATAAGTAAGTCATCATACTACAAATTTTGAATGCTACAAATAATTTGACTTTACTTAGTGGTAAAGTATATGATCAACACTTCATTTATCTATTTAAAATATTGTATTCCTCAGATAGTTTCAACAGTTTCAACAATCTACTTGGTTCGTTTCTGAATCGAAATTAAGTAGTATTTTCATAAATTTTGTCAAAATTTCGTTTTATCATTTTCTTTATTATTAGGTGCTATTTTAACATGTTGTTTTTTGTGCTTTGCAGTACTTTATTTGTTTATCAACCATAATTCCTTACATATTTTGGATTAAGTTTTGAGATTGATATTTTCACTTATTACAAATGGAGCATCAGCTTGCAAAATGATTTTATTACTCAGATGTTGATATATTTTATATTTTGATTAAAATCAATGAAATTTGATGTCATGTATTAAACATTGTGATTTATGTCATAAAAAAAGAATTTCAACTATTTAAAGTACTAGTTTGAAAACACTAAAGAACTGCTCTTTCATTTAAAATCAATAAAGGTTATTACCACTACTAATTCGTAAAGTCAAAATACTCCATTTAGTAGTCGAAAATTCAAAGTGCAAGTAAAATTATTGCTATGTTTAATACTACATGAATGGGACAACCAATTTCTGTACATAATTGTGTATCTATTTGCATGAATATATGCGCAGTAAAATTTTTGCCAGAGCAGAGACCTGTATGAAGAGTCACTGGCAGTTTTTCACTTACTCAATTCCTGATCTATCCTGAATTTCATATTGGTGAATTATATACAATATATCTCTTCATCCTTTCACTTTCCTTTGCGCATCTGCCATGTCATTTTCATTTATCACTTGCCATCATTTTTCATTCACTTCACTTGATAGTTGCATTCATTTGAATTCTAATAGTAATTTTTTCATAGGCAAAATCTTTCCAAATCATTTGAATGCCATTTTTGTATGACAGTGCTTTCTTAAAATTGATTATGATTCCATTAAATAGAGGGCTTTTGTTTTAATGCATCAAATTATCCTTTCAAACTAACATTTTGCAAAGTACTGCTCTGGAATTTACTTGTATGAAATCTGTTGTTATCAAGTAAGCACCACATTTGTGCATGTCAAAGAAATTGAATGGTACTTTTACAATATATTTTTGTATTCTGAAAATGGGTAAAAAGAAATTTCATACTGAAATATATTGACAAAGTCCATATTTTAATGACAAACAGATAGCTAATAATGGTAAAAGTACCATTTTATTTTAATGACTTATTACAACATATAATAATTTGCCTTTTTAAGCTCGTCTTCTTGAATGCTTTCCACAAATAAGTATTGAACTCAATTTAAATTAGTTTCAGATCACTTTGGAAGATGGTAATTTTGCAAATCAACAAAATTGTGTATTACAGATATGTAGTCTTGACGTTAAGCAGCAATGATAACTGAAACAATTGGAACGTGAATAGTGTAATGAAACGATGAAACTTATATATTAGATGCGTCAATTGCTACTTCTAAAAGCGAAAGAGAAGGTCCTTTAATTACTTTTTCAATAAATCTAAAATAATGACCGGAAGCTAAATAGGATTTTTTGTATAACTGTATTTTTTTTCTTCACTACACTTTCTGCCCTCTCAAGAAATTGCACAATATGTTCTTTAATTACTAGATGTAACCAGTCACTTGTTCAGCTGACAATAGACAAAAGGCTATGCAAGATCATGATGATTTGAGAACGCCATTATTTCTTGAATTCTTAAGCAAAATAAATTGCAACGAATAATAAGATGAGATGATATTTAGAATTCATTTTTTTTTTACTTTTATTCTGTCAATATTTTCGTTATCAGAAATCTGACAGTTTGTGTAATGTTAATAATAAATTTGACTTGAAAAATTTGTACTCAGTTTACTAAGTAAGCTTTAGAAGGTAAACATTCTCTTTCAATTTACTTGAAATAAATGCTGTTAATTTATATACATATTTTTACTGTAATAGAAATCAGCTTTAAGCTTATGAAAAACGTTAATGCATTCTCATACAACTATTTCATTTTATTGGTTTTCTGATAGTTTTTAAAGTACGAATTTCTTTTCTATCTTTTCTTCCTATCTTCAGTCATCATTAAAAAAGATCTAAATATTTAAATATTCAATTAGGAAACCCAAAACCGCTCTATTGTTGTTTATCGATGCGTTAAGAAGAAAAGATCTATCAGATAATGGAGCATTCATCCGTAACCTGTTCGTACAAACAGATGAATAGATAGATGCAAACATATACATCATCTGCCAGTTGCAGTAATTGTAGTGATAGTGTTAATAATGTCACAGAATTAGTTCCTCTCGTGGTTGTGCAATCTCCGCCAATTAACTATACTAAAATTAAATGATTTAACGGAAGGATCAGCTGAAATTGGTTATAAAAGAAGAGAGAAAAGTACAAACCTTGAAGTTGACTTTGATGAATTAATAATAACAGTAACAGTAATAATGCTGATGACTACTATGTTTGCTACTATTTATCATTCGTTGCATAATATCACATCGCTACTTCAAAGCAATCACTTTACTCTTACTGCTTGTTACGCTTGCTTTTCAAACGGCGCTATATTTGATATCTCTTTAAAAATAGAATATAAAGTGAAACTGATGACTTTTTGGTGATTGTTTCTATTAGTGCATTTAATTCTATCACTCCGAAAGTTTTGCTAGATTATTGGCTCACATATTTACCAAAACCTGTTCATTTTATATTCTTAATTGCGCTTTAGATAATATCTAGTTCTTGCTTCCAGTAATAATTATATTTTTATAAATATTACATGCCAAAAATCACTCATGTATTTAATAATTTTTCTGGTAATTATCCATTTACTCATTCATTATTTTTTTTACGAAGTTCAATATAATTTTTAGTAATGTGATTATGTATTTTGCAATTATTGCGTTATTGTTTACAAGATTGAATGCACGAGTTCAAAAAGACGAGAATGTATCAACATTATTATTGGTAATTTATTATATTTATTCATATTTAGCTAGATATTTATATTTCTTTGATTAAAAAAAAAGTTTTTTCCTAATACTATTTGTCGTCATGCACATCATTACCTTCTGGAAGTGCCTTTGTATCACAACCTCTATGTTATCGCATATTTGAAAGTTCAAAAATTTTTTAAATCTTCTGCTGCTCTGAATTTTTATTCTAGACAAATACAAATGCGCATAATCCGGGTATCTACATGCGATTGATGTCTACTGGTCTTGCATATCTACGTGAAATAGGTATGAAAGTAGTAAATGATGAAATATTGCGTATCCAATTACCAACAATCACGGAAGTTATTGAAGCTGGTCAAGTAAGCGTAATAGAGTCGTTCTGAGTGAAGTTTAAAATCTAAATTCATTTTTTCACACTCAAAGTTTAGCATTTGCCATCTCTAGTAATTTATCTATTTTGTTGTTAGGAACATCCTAAATATAGTTTTGCTAATGAATTTGTGCTAATTGGCAAATTTCTCACGTTTTGCTTCAGGTATCAATTTACAATGCTTATGTGTCAAAATACTGGTCGCCACCGGAATACAGTCTAGAATTATCGCCTCCGAACATGTTCACCTGGTCAATGGCTAAAATGCATATCAGGTGTAATTTAAAAACTGCCGTTTCATAATTAATCATTGATGATTTTATATTATCATGACTTTCACTGTATTGCAGAAGTTTTTTGAAAAAATTTCAAATTTATTTAAATATCATTAAGAATGTCTTAATATTGTTGATACTTTATTTTCAGAGTAGCAGGTGACTTTGAAGCGACGATTACTGGGCCACTATTGATTCCATCTGTACCAATTCGTGGACAATTCGAGACTTTATTTGGTCATGTAAGCTTAACAATAGCTGTCAGATTAGCTCGGTTTGTTCCCTTTCAAAGTGCCGTTCATTTGGCAAAAAAAAAGAAAAATGTCTCTTCAAATACAATTCTTGATTCAATTCTCACAGAAAAGAAATACAAAGGGTACTTAATATAATGAAAAGTATATCTTACTTGTCTTTAAAAAATCTTGCAAATTCACAGAACACGATCAGGTGCCCCAATGGTACAGTCTACATATTGTGGCGCTGATGTTGGTTATGTTGATTTGAATGTACAAAACACCGGGGTCATTACGGATTTTTTTATTAATACTTTCAAAGGTATGGAAAATTACTGTTGTTTTGAGATAAAGCTCATTTCAGTCACTTTAAACTATATGTTTTACATTTTCAGCTTTTTTTTAAAATTTGTTAATTCTGTTTCCCCAGAAAAAAGAATTCGAAAAATATCCAGTGAATTAAAAAATAAGTAAATTTTAGCCTTCATTATTGCTAATTTCAAACCAATCGTGGAAGATCGAATATGCAAAATGATAAAAAATGTGATTAATAAAGATATGAATTATATATTATCTACAATGCCTCTTCAGGTAATTAGTCTTGTGTCTTAATAATTGGTAATGATAAAATAAAATTAAAAGCAGTTTTAGTTTTTACTACACTTACTTTAATTAATAATTATTTTATGATAAAAAGAAGCTATTCCTTTCAATCTCTTACTTGTACACTTATAGCATTATCTTAATCAAAAGATGATATGAAAGACAACCAGTTGTTGCTTGTTTTGGAACTGCTTTGTTGCGATATACTCAATTAAATAACTACTTTCCAAACTTTTTCAGGTAAATATTAATGAAAATTCAATCGATGTCTTAGGACAATCATTTGGAATTCCAGCTAGGAAACCATTTGGCAAGTTAGGCGAAGTTAACATCGCCAAGAATGCTAGCATAATGAGCATTGTTACTCGTTTACGACAAAAAAATCTCATACTAGATTATCGACTCATTCGCGATCCATTCATCGCATACGGTACTATTGAAATAGTATCACGCGGAGAAATTTCTTGGTGAGTTGAATTTCTGAAAAAATAACAGGCATTATTTTCCAAAATTTTCAATAAACTCTTGGGTATTTGGTTTTTCTTACCACTGTCATGAGTTATAACAATTTTTAGTTATAGCAGTAAAGTGTGTAAATTTTCACTTATGAGCAACATCTTCTTTATCTATCTTCTAGGTTGGCTTCTCTTCAAGCCCAGATTATTTAAACTGATAATTTAGAAAATTTTTAAACATAAGGTAGTTTTGACTGTATTATGTGACGAAATATCACAGTCATATTACTTCATGCATCATTCTACGTTTTTTTTTGAAATATATATATTGAGCATACAACAGTTTTTTATAGGGATGGCAACGGTGGTACTCCTTTCAACCCTCCAAATATTTATATTCCTCCACCAAACGGTTAGTAAAATATAACTATAAATGAATAAATGAATTTAGACGTTCCTCTTATAGCAATAAATAAAGATTTGATCAGTTTCAGAAAATTCTTACTTTAAAATTATTTTGAATTTTTATTAAAGTATTCAATAACTAATTATTTGTAAAATTTGTCTAGAGAGTTCTGAAAAAAACTGTTTTTTTTAGGTGTCCACATGGTGGAATTTATTGCAACAGATTATATAATTAATTCGCTCTTGTTTCATGCATACAAACAAAAATACTTAAATTTTGTTATTGGTCCTGAATCAAGTTCATATCTTAAGTCACTTCTGTTAACAACATGTGATAGTGGTTACTGCCTTGGAGAATTTCTTGGTGAATTGTCGCGGCAGTATCCAGATCGTGAAATTGAAATTCATTTTTTGACTAAAAAGGTCTCTTTTTTACTGATACATTCAATATTACCTTCTCTAGTTTTTAACTTTCAATAATTTTGTTTTTTGTAAACTTTTATTATGGTTATTGAAGACTATTGCGAAAAAGCTTTATAATGTTTTTTGTGAAGATTCTAATGGTTATACCGCAAATAATTATTCAAATTTCTTTGTTTGAGTTGTAAATTAAACTAAGGTATTTATTTCAGTCTCCATTGCTTGTTTTTGTTGAAAATCGAGCACGATTTCGACTTCATGGCAGTATAAATATGTATGTCAGACCACGAAATGCCAGTCAAATCAAATTGATGGTATTTCCTAATTTTTCTGCAATTACACTAAAAAAATAAGTATTTTTTATGTACTAAACAGATTCAAAAAGAAGATATTTTGAATAATCATCATGAGATTTTTTTGGGAGTGAGATTTGACTGTTCAGTTTAAACATCCTGTTTAACAAAAGTCATCTCGATTATTTATGGTAAAAGCTTTCTTACAATTCAATAAAATATTGATGAACAAATTAAAAAATAATGATTTTTGCTTAGATATAGATAAATTATCAAAGTCTGATTCAAATTCACGCATTTTGAGTTTATTCGAACTGATTTTAATAATTATGTAATTAAAATGAGAGAAAAACATAAATCCTTCGGTGGCAAAGACTAAATTACACCTGTGAAGTAAATATATTTTTAACTTAAATGTAAATTGATAAATATAGAATCAATAGCACAATATCTCTTTTTTTAATTTATAGTTTATGGTTCCTCGAAGCTTAAATTACAACTCAGTTCCTTGTAAAAATGGTTTTCAAATAGAAATTCAAGAAGAGTAATTCAAAATCGTAACTATTAAAACAAAAGTGATGCAGATTATTCGAGCTGATACAAGAATGACATCAAATATCAATTTATGGCTAAATCAGACACGAATAGTTGGTAATGCTTCTATAGAAAATCTTGATTTTAAACTGCTTGAGACTCGTGTTCAAGACGTAGATCAAGCAACATTTGGCGACCTTGGTCTTTTTGGTGCAGGATTTTTAGAGCAATTATTAGGTGATATCTTGCAAGTTGGCATCCTTATGCCAACAATGAAAGGGATTGTATTGAGAAATCCGAGGTTAGCACAGATTTATTATTATAATACTGTTTTAGATCATTGAATGAATAAACCATTGATTGCATTCCGGCAAAAATTTGAACTTATTAGATACCGAAAATTAATTTTTCTTCCAAAGTTTTTCTTTCAGGTTATCACTGCATGATCGCTTTTTGAAAGTACAAACGTATTTTAGATTAGACGAGCGTTTTGCTGGTAGATTAATTCAGGGTGCTGTAAAGCAGACATTTAGGAATTTTAATAATGTTGCTGGTTAATTCCATCTATTGATCCCTATTTGACTTGAATATATTATATACTAGGCTGATTAACATTCCTCGACACAAACCCTTCAGAAGCATATTTCAAGAAGCTAGCAAGCATGTTATAGCCTTAAAAATATACTAATCTCACTTTAATTTAAATAATTTTGAACGTTTCGTCCAACCATAACTGTATACAGTCGTGGTTAGGAAGAAATTTATATCAGAAGTTCATAACGGTTGCGTTGTATGATCCCGTAGTTACTACTGCGAAATTTGCTAGGGCATTTTGCTATCAGGTATGCTGAATTCATATGCATCAAACTATATAACCCTGCCCACAATGTAAATTTTGTAATACATATTATTGTAAGCTCTCATTTTGTGCATCTCCTGCAATGGGTTTGGAGATCAGAAATATACATAAAGGTTGTTTTGAGAAATTACGAGCTACATATAATGAAATCGTTAATCCTGCTGTTAATTAGACGAAAGTACTTTTGATTGGTTAACTTTGAACTGCCATTCTCAAACCCATTATGTCTTTCGACACTTTTCATATACTTATAATTGAAATTCTGAACAGAAAAAACTACGACTTCCACATAAGTGCTTTACTCAATATATCAAATGTTATTGCACTTATTTTAACAATCGAGTTACTTGCTAACCCCGTTAAAAATAAGTGCTGTCAACTACTGCCTTCTCAGTAGCAGAAAGCAAGGTAAAAAAACACCAGAATTCAAACAAGACAATACTTTTAACGAATATGGTTGAAAAACAAAGTAGGCATTAGAAAGTTGAAGCAAAAACAGAAACAATTCATACTTCCAAGTGATAAATGACATACATATAAGCTATATTTCAGTGCATCCAAAAGAAAGCTGTGAATCGTATATATTTTCAACAATCTGAGAACTTAAAGAGCAGATTACAGAAGTTCATGCTATGCTAGACAGTGTCAGTCTGCCTGAACATAAATTATTTCATTTCTATATTACAAGATAACAAGGTAAGAAGTAACAAGAGTTCCGAGAAAGATAAAACAGACTCACTGAAACAGCATATTCACCAGCAAGTATTTGATGCCAACTTCGGGCATTTATACTAATTTTTAGAGTGTAGAACTTGGATATAACTTTTAAAAAAAACGGTCCAAACCAAAAATAGCACATCCTTTTTGAATTTAAGTTTTCTGTGAGAAACCAACATTTGATATAATTCACTTGCCGTTGTAAACTCTCAGTTGACTATTTACTATCAAATCAAAAGTATATTATTTCGCGGGTCGACTCTCAAATTTGCATTGAACATTTTTCGCATAAAACATGGTCAATTTATTTAAAATCAGCACTATTCAGAAAAGATTTAAATTGGTTCATAGAGTATCAAAATGTTGAGTATTATAAAGAACATGAACATTTTGATTTTCTCCTTATAAAATCATTCAGGATCTTGACTGTAAAAAAAATGATTTGCTGTTGAGGCCTGTAATTCTCATATTAAAAAATATAAAATCTTCCGTAGATGTTAGCATGCTCAGATGACAAAATAACAGCAAAATTCAATCATTAACAAACGATGCACTGATGCATCAGTCTTTGAATATTTCTGCAAAAATTTTTAATAAAGCACAAAATAGAAAACAGACATATATAAACAACAGTGACTGTGATAAGGGTTCTAAATTTTTACGTGATCACTACTCGGAGTTCTTTCAAGACTTTGCTCGGTGCTATTGTGATTTTTATTCATTTTTGACTCCGGCATATTTGAAATATTTCTTAATGCAGTCTTATCTATACTTAATTGAGGCTGACCTTCATTTAATAACTCATGTAACATATTGTATACACAGTTGATAGAGAAATCATATCCTGTTGTTTTTGCAAAAGCTGTTAAATAATCAGCTATTCCATCCATAGCAAAGTATGCCTTCTCCTCTGGTTTCAAACTTACCTGAAATATTTTTTTAGCTGAGCAAACTCAACAAATACTTCTTATTGCACATGGCAAAATTCACGCTGCATAAAATATTAGATGCACTTGGTCCTGCCTAGAAAACACTAATTTTGTCTAGATATTTCCATCAACAATAACTTCGCTGATTACATCCTGACGAAAGAAATTTTGGATGTCTGGAAAATCATAATACAAAGAAAACGTGATATCGTAAATAGCAGGTTAAACAGTAAAAATGATCAAGTTTGCTTTAAATGTCTTATACCATTCATATTTTCTTTTATGTCCAGCACAGATTTTGCGGTGCCTCTTATATATGTCTTTAGAAAATAAAAGTTACAAAACATGAGGAAATAAAATGACGGAAAATGACAAAGTATTAGAAAATATGCATGAAAAAAGCCTATACTCTAAAACTCAGTGAGAGATGGTCGTAGTTTGGCTGTTGTGAGAAAGATGGCCGTAAGTCTGCGAACACAAATGACATAGCTTCAAAATGGGATGTTTCCTGATTCTTTTGGTATGTAGGGCGCTTTTTTTTCCAGTTGGAAATGAGGCTTCGCATGACATGGAATGCGACATCTGAAGAGAACTCGCCAACGTGTAATCCCCATTTCATGATTTATGGATTTATTTTAAGTTCATTCATTTTCTTATAACCTCATTCAAAAATCTTTATCTAAGAGTGACATTTCTCTTAAATGCAAATTCCGCTACTAATTTATTTTCAAATTTTTTCTCTTCAAGCACCTTTATTTAAACTTTATGCTCTTTAATAAAGTTCATTTCAAATGTGATGTGTACCCACATCTTTTTTGCAACATCCACAAATGCCATCAGTTATAAGGAAAAACAATTAGTACCTTCTGCAGAAGATTTGGGCAACAAATTGACTATCCATGTAGCAATAAATTTATTGATTTGTCCAGAAGTAAATTCCTTATTGATAACTTCTCGAATATTTGATACAACGCCTTCATTAAAAATCAAAAAGAACAATGAATACTTATTCATCTGAAATTCACAAGCGAAGAAGCATTTCAGAACCTGACGAGAATAAATTAGTTACAGATAAATTGATATAGAAATTGATAGAGGCAATCTCACCGAAAAGGCACCTTGAATCACAGGTTGTCGGAAAATGAAAGGATGTTTATCAAAGGGGAATGCATCCTTTTCACACGCCACCTGGAATTGTATATTATTATATACACAAGCATACATTACTAATTAGAAGACACTAGCAGTAACCATTATTATAAATGGAAGTATAAAATTGACAAGCAACTTTGGTAAGGTAGAAAGCATGTCATTTATTTAACAACACAAATGATTAAAAATACAAACAAATGTAACTCACAGGAACCCAATCAGTCGGTGGCTCATTCAAGTACATTATATCTATGTATGAACCCTTCTTACGCACTAAAACAATTCTGCAATACACAAATACCTATCAGATGATTTACTCTTTCTTAATTTTACAAGCTGCATTCATCACATAGTATTTTAAATCAGTACAAAGATGGATAAAATATATGAACTATCGTAGCTACATTAATATTATCTTTCTCACTCTAATAGCTGATTATTACTTAAAAGACTAAGTAAAATGCAAATGCTACAGGAAAATATTAACCACTGATTGGTTTTGATATAAATGCCGTCATGAATTTAACTTATGTTCTGTAAAAAAGGAAAATAACATTTCAATCGAATTCAAAATACTATGTCATGAATGTACCATCACCATCACCTTAAATAATAATAATTTTCCTTAATGGTCATATCTGACCCAATCTTAAAAATTAACATAAAAAGGCATGAATTTGAGTTGAGAAAAAGAATCTGTGATCGGAAATTCTATACTCCTATACTTGACGAGTATTACGATAGAATTTTTTGGCAAAATGTAATTTTTACACTCAAATAAATTGAAGAATTATGTTTTCGATAAAGCTAATTCAACAACCTGGAGTCACCAATACTGCCAATAAACATTTTGTCACCATAAACGAGAACAATTGCAACTGATGCATGAGAAAGAACATATTTGTGGGAAACTGTACTTCCCACAGAACTTCTTTCTTCGCTTTCATCACTTATGTTTTCAGTACTTCGTATGGTATCGGATTCAATGAGACCTAGATTGATAGCAGCTTCTTCAATTGCTTCCATAAGCATATCACTATCATCATCTCCTTTGCGAGATACTTCTATCGGAGAATATTGCAATTCTGAACATTTCCTTTTTCGAATAGCCAGGTTATGTAGAAATATATCTTTTTGTTCCATACTACATGTCTCCAATTTTTCGTTCTCAGACCGCACTTTTTCATCACATGCAGAAATAATTGGCACTGATTTTACGCAAGAGACAAATTTCCTACTGCAAGAAGCACCTTCATGCGTTAATGAGTGGTCTGAATATTTGCTGTTCTGTTGTACTAGAGATTGCAAATTGGAAATGTCCATACAGCTATGATTTTTTATGCCTTTTACATCACAGTTTATGCTAGCATCTAGTGCACTCTGTAGAGTACTGGAAGGCCCAAATGCAAATAACGTATGTGACTTTATGCCTTCGCTATCATCTTCTTCTGCTGCTTCATCAACTCCCTCGACTGCATCCTTGTAAACGTTGCAGAAGTCCATATTGTTTAACTTTTCAGCCAATTTTTCATTTGTTAATAAATGTTGTGATGGCATCATATCTTTTATTTGCACATTTTTTTCTGATTGCGCTGAATTTCCATTCAATAAATTGCCCATACTACTGTTTCTACTCCTTAGTGACCGAGATGAACCAGATGAATCATCTGAGCTATGTGTGCCATTTTGATATGTATTTGCTGCTATATTGTTTATATCGAGTTTATAAACGTCTTTTAACACTTTTTCCAACAAGAAGTATATCTGAAAACAAAGTTACAGAGAAATAAACATTACGATGTAATTTTTGATCATTTTTTGAATTTGCAATCATATTGTACAGTACATTCAATGTCCATAATTAGCGTACGTTATTTGTAATGCTAAGGTTTTTCCTACTTACTGACTGCATGAATCTATTTTTACTTTTTCTAGAGTCATATTCAATATCCATTCAGCAGACAGCATAATTTTATAGAGTTAATGAAGTTTGCATATAAATCCTTCAGCATTTTTATGAAATTAGTTAAACAAGGTTTGGGATTTATCAAAATCTGTCCAATCCTTTGAAAATTTTCGAATTTAGGCAAAAAATTAATGTGATCCATTCTTTTACTAAAACTTCTTCCTCCAGTATATTTCACATTTTACAATCATGTTGGATGATATGTACTATAGACGTTAGTTAAAAAGTGAGTAAAAAATAATGACAAACTTCATAATCGCTTGGATCATTGTCTAATATGTGATCAGGTGCACGACTGTATGGTAAAATATAGCTGACGATTAGATTAGTTAGACTGTTGACGTCTGAACCATGACATCCGTCAACAGTGCCGTACAATTGGACCACCTTTCCAGAACGACTATCCCTGCAATTCTATTTCTATTCAGTCTATAACTTGAAGAGCATTCCCAATTCTTCATTGATATTTTAATTCTTCTGATACCTGTGTACATCATGAATGCAATATAAAAAATTGCAAATAGATTTTTCTAAAAGCGATCAGTTTATTTAGAGAAAGTAGAAAAGTGTAAATAGTTATGATATGCCTTCTGACATACAGCAAGTTATATGCACTAAAGAATCTCGTCTTAATTTTCATTCATGTGAGTATTCGGTGGAATAGGACGAGTCTTTATTTATCAAAATTGACCAAGCAGTTCTCGTAAACAAAAAGTGGAAGCTGACTGGGAAGAATGGAAATGATACAACAGTACTGAATTAGTAGCAATAAAAAGTAGTCACATCGAGGCTTATTTCATGTCTTAAATGGTTTTTCAAATTCTTCTTCTGACTGCTTCACTATATCCCTTAATCATCACTGAGAAATGTGAAAATTACTTGCTTATTCCTTAGTTTTTGATCATGGTTCAATAAAAAAGGAGTGAGCTAACATTGTATGCGATCTCAGTACTAAATTTATTTAATTCCATGAATCGTGAATTTCTATGATTGATTGAAAAACTGCACACTTCCAAAATCAATTTTTATTAGTCTTTTTGATTTACTCACGTCATTAGCAAGAATAAACAACCAGCATACTTGTCTAACTCTGAATTCTAATCTATCCTATACTACTTTTTGAGAGATTGAAACAAGCTTTTAAGAGTGATAAGAAATCATTCACATATAATAAAACTTACATATATGAAAAGGTTTTGTGTAGATTTTCACTTTCAGTCATGACGCTACATCCAGGAATGTAAGTAGCCTTGCAAGAAGAATGACCAGAGGAATAAGGACATTCTTCGTACAAATAATCATACTGCTGAGAATCGGATCCCAACATATCAGTGGTATTATTAATATCCAGCAACAACGATGTAGAACTGAAACAATAATTTCATATATTCATATTTATAATATATATGCTCCTAAATGATAACTTTGCAAATAATGATATCATGGCAAATTACCAGATAAAAATGATTGCTAGCATAATTGTGTTTGTAGAGTTTGAGCAATAAATAAATAGATTGACTAGAATTGGTCTCCCCCTCCCTTTTTTGGTATAAGATAGTATATTCATTTTTAGATGTCAATGATTGATTAAACTTTTGTCATAATCTAAAAACATATTTTGACCTTCCTGAACAAACCAAAGAGGAATTTTTATAGATATCTCATGTTTCATTAACTCTTTCTTCTATAGAATCACATTCCGCTAACTTAAATTAGGAAAAAACTCAAATTTTTATGTTTAACTAGAAAAACTACAGTTTTTCCATACATTCTTATTACATAATCTTCCTTTGATTATTGGCTAACTGTAAAATAAAGTAAATATTAAATGATGATAAATTAGAGGTCAAGATGGTATTAGCCGACTTTTTTTTCCTTAATCATATGGTATACACATAGATGGCGAACAAATGGAGAATTCTCATGAAATGGCATTCTTTTATTGACAAAAATTGCTAAGATAAGGTAGAAAATGAAGCTGTCGTTTTAAATGCTCAGCATAGCATCTGCTTTTTAACGGAACCTAAACCAAATGCAAATTATGCAAGTTATGCAAAAAAGAACAGACAAATAGCACATGAAAAATAGTGTTGTGACTCAATTTGTAAGATACCCAGAATGTGTACTTGGTGTTATTAGCAGTGTTCAGTTATAATACCGAAATAAAGGTCATCTCTTTCAAAATAATCAGCCTCAACAATTGTCTTTGACAGCAATGCTATTCTCTATGTGCATAATCAATCGATATCGTGAATCTTTCGGTCTAATGAAAAGTAGAATATTTGACAAGATACATGAAAAGTACTCAAGCGTAAAAGGTCATCATTTAGAAACAAGGATGCTAGAACTAGAAGCAATTTGAAAGAATGTGACAAGAATGAAGCGATGAAATTGCACAGCTCTGTTTAAGACTACATGAAACGAGAAGAAATCAGTAGAATAGAAAAGAAATGTAAATTGTGGGAAGAAAGAAAAGGACAGGATAATGAATGCTCCATCTATCATGATGATACTCATTCTTTGGTCATAAAAGCGCGCGTTTTACTCTCTCTCTTACGCGATGAGTTGTGTGCAGGAACTAGGGTCACGTAGGGAACTCTTGCTTGTAAGTCTCTCTTCAGACTAATGTCTTTTTGTCATGCAATACTTTCCTCTGCACCTTTTTCTTCTTTCATGTAGAAAGATGGTGAAGTGTAATGCATTTAAGTGGGATAAAAGAAGCATACAAGCGAGGTCTGCCTTTTTTTCTGATTTCCTTGCTATTTTGAGCTATGTATAAATGGCATTCTGATCCAAGCTCTCTCATTTTTGCAGACAATTATTCAACAGCTCTCTTCACACATTGTTTAATTACTCTGATACTCTAAGGCACAACCAACAAACTGCATAAAAATTTCTTTTTATTTTCTGTTCAAATCTTTCTTGCTTTCCGACCTTAATTATATGCAAATCCACCATTAATTATATCATCGTTCTAACATCAATAAAATACTTCAATTTAAATGTTTGAAATGGCACATTCACATTGATTTCAAGATTATTTTATCACATTTAATAATGAAGGAAGCATCATGTTAAAAATAAATAATTTTGGCTATATTGACAAAATTTGTCTTAAAATTAGCAAATGATTTGATTGATGCATCATTATAAAATTTGACTTGACTTCTCTTGAGTCTAAGAGCATGAAAATATTCAGGACATCAGTAACCTGATAGCTTGAGCGTATGATTTGACCTGGATATCAGTATGATACATGTTTCAGAAGAACTAAATTATGATCAAAAGCAAAAAAAAAGCTAGAAAATTAAGCAGAATAAGGAATAACCTCGTCCGTTATTAATTAACATTCCATGTGGAATCTTTGTCCTCTAACTGTTTCATCTTTTCTGTTGTAAAAAACTAAATACTTTACACTTATGTTTATTTATTATAGAAATCAAGTTTACAACTACTCATCTATTAAAATATAGATATGAGGGAAAGATATGTGCATCAAATTATCGCCAAATTCTCAAAGGCATGAAGTCCATTTTTATCATCTAGCTTATTTAAATTATTAAGTGATTTTTCACTTTTTACTTGTAATAGCTTCTTGTCTGTAAAAAGCTATCCTTCATAAAACAGTGTTTTTATATGCATGTATGCATACGTGTTTACTTTGAAATGAAGAAATGTTCATGAGATGCTCATTGCTTGTGGCACCAATATTTTTATCTTTATTTGTAGAATAATAACACTGAGCAGATTTTTTTTTTCATTATATTATGGGAAATAAGCAAGTAAGTAGTGGTAAATACAGTCCATTATAGCAAGGTTTATGTATACGAGGTTATTTGCATTTCACAATTATATTTGTGTCATACGGAAAGTGGTTTTGAAATTACAAGATTTTCATTTCCATTATTGGTAAAGTATAAAGTATGGAGTAAGTAGCTTTTACGAGTTGTCTCTTCTTAAGTCCTATTTTGGAAGATATCAGTATCTAATTAAATCAGATTATTTTTGATATCATTTGTTTACTACGAAGTTTATAAAAATATGATATGAAAGTTTTAGTTTAGCACATGTTTGCATCTAAAAAAGTATTCTTTCTTTACTGTGTCTGGAAAAAGGATGTATTATGGGGTATAAAACAAATGACTTTGTTCATAATACTAGCTAAATTCCATTTTAGACATTTGTATTTCCCAGTATGAGAAATATCATAAAACTTTTGAAAAATTTCAGGTCAAATACTTACAGCCATTTATTTACAGTTTGGTCAAATGAATGAAAATGATTAGATTTATCGCTGAGAAATTAAATATCATTGACTACAGCTTCAATTTTTCGCTCGTTAACAATAATATTAGCTTTTGTTTTAGCAATAGCAGATTTGGTTTCCTTGATTTGTTCATCCAACCGATTTAACTCTAACAACAAACTCTCTGTGGTGTTTTGGATATTACCTTTTTGTTCTTGTAATTGATGCAAGTTTTTTCTATTCTTTGAACGCCACTCTTCCATTTCTCTAAACATACTCTCGGCATCCTCCTATCAAGAAAATTGTATGTTGATTTATTTTGTACTCAAGAACTGAAATCTCTTTTCAGCATATTGCATATAAATGAATGAAAATTATTTATCATCTCAGCAGTAATCATTGTTGCTTACCACAAATTTGAATGATAATAAGTTTTACAACTTTAACTTTTTTCAGCAATTACCTGTACATTTTCAAAAAGACGGGAAAGCAAATGTGCTGTTTGTGTTATCTGTTGCATAATTCTTTGTAGATTAGCTAGCTGCAAATTAACAGTGCATGGGGAGATGACATTTCTAGAACAAGATTGCTTTGTTTTCAGATATTTTGTCATCATATAATTAAATGTTGACTCGAATTGTCAAACTTAAACTGCAATGTTAACTACCAGCAAGCAATAAAATACTCTTGAACTTGTCTCTAATTCACTCGCAACGTATTAACTGACATCACATACTTTCAAATTAAGCTGTCATATTCACTGATACGTAATTCATGAATTGATCAGAAAATTGATGGAGAACGAAAGGTTAATTTTGCACAAACCTCCTGTTGTGATTTCGCTATATCTCTTTCATCAAACACTCTAATGCTTGCATTGCGTGATTCATCTCCAATTTTTTTGTCCAATTCTTTTTTAGTTTCGAGAATTTTCCGCACTAAACCACCATGTTCTTCAGTAATAAGCTATAAATATGTTGAAAATTAGTCATTAATAATCATCGTTGTTATTAATTCTGTAATAAAAAATTGTACGAACGAAAAGCAATCAATTCAGTTTTTTGTAGAAGTTGTAAAGAGACTTGAAATTTCCCATGTGAGCTCTGTGAAGCACGAAAAAAAAATGTTGTAAAAATTTCAATCTACAGTTCATGGCTTTGAATAAAAAAAATGTAATAATTAATCTTGTAGCTTTTGCTCATTTTGACAAAACAAACTTTGTCTGCATTTACGCGGTCATTTGCATCATATGATGATTCAGTTTTTATTACAAAGTCCTCTTCATTTTCTGTTCGCTCTGCAAAAATCATTCCAGTCGGTTTTACATCCTGAAGGAATTAAGTTATTGAAATCTTAATCAATAAAATTACAAATTATTTGTTATCAAATAAATAAAAACTTGCAGATTCTGGCTTTTTTTCGATTTCATCGACCTGTTTTTTTTTTAATTTTGGGGGCGGGGGTCGTGCTGATGCAGTGCCCGGTCTTTCTAATGAAGTTCGTGGTCGTATTAATAACAACGATAAGCTATAAATTCGATCATTATCGTCAAAGTATTTGGTCATTCTTAAAATGAACCTCCTCTAGATTGAAGAAACTATAAACAGAAGACTGAAATGATCAACCTCGGTTGTTCCTTCATTGGTACTGCTACCAAATTATTTTCTTTCTCGTTTGTTATATCATCAGCAATACCGCTATCTTCCGTCTTTGCAGTACCTAAATCGCAGTTCCAAACATTTGATCTTATTTATGAGAATATACATATTTATTGTTAATAGCATAAAATATGAAGGAAACATAACTAATCAAACTTAAATGCTTGTATTGTGTGGAATGATTGGATACTGGAATTAAGAAGAGAAAGTTGAAAAGATTTGTGAGTAACCTGAACATATGTTATTCTAAGTGAAACTTATCTAATCAATTTGTTTCAGTACCTTCTGTTGAAAATATAAATGGAAGGGAATGCCAGCTTTTACAAGTAATAATAAAATGTAATACAATTGCTAAGGTTATTATCCATATTAGGGAGAGGAACTGGTAATTAAAAAAACCTGAAAGTTCTTTGTCAGTATGAATTGATTGTTCTATTTTTACATGTGATGCGTGTACTTCAGCATCTTCAACATGCTTGGCCTTTATAAAACCTTTTCGTTTTTCATTGTTAACTGATCCTTTTTCCATGTTTACTTTGTTTTCAACTTCTTTCTGCATTATTTCTCGACTTCTGCTAGGTTTTAATCTCTGCTTGTCATTCTACAATTTTTTACTTAGTTTGTTTAAGTTCTTAATAATAATATTCTTGTCAGTGAAAACTAATTCTATCATTCACTAGGTGAATGAAAAATAAAGCATACTTCAAACTACATCAAATAATAAAATATCTATCATGTTTTTGATTACATTAAAATGTCTCACGTTTCCTTCTTTTGTATTTATTTCTTTCTTATGCAATTTTTTTCCCTTTTTTTGTTTCCGTTCTTCTGAATCATTTAATTTTGCATTTCGATATTCTATCGCGTCAGCAGCCAGTTTTTGTAGTAACTAAAATATATCATCAAATTCATTTATTAATCAGGTAATGTGATAAAAATTTTTATATTTACTAAGCAAATGAGAAATTGTGCCAAAATAAAAATTCACTTCAGAGCAATATTACAGTTTTATTCATTTTGTAGTTTTCTGTATATTAATATGAAACCAAAAGTTTTGTTGCTTGGGCGAGTTATTTATTTGCTTTGCTTCTTTGACTCTTGGAAGGTGATAAAAAATCCGAGATCTAACCAAATTGGTCATTTCAGGTTCTTTGCCAGCAATTATTTTTGTCACTTTGACATCTTTCAGTGAGCCATCATCATTTAGTGCTTTGATTAGTTTCTTAAGAAAGCTCGCTTTTGCTTCTTTATTTGTTACATTTGAAGCTATCAGTTCTTCACTTGTAAATTTATCCTTAATATTTACTATTTTCGGGGATAAGTTATCATGACTTTATGCATGAAAATTTTTTTGCAGTCTGAAGCAGCTAAATAAAAAATTAAAAATTTTCATCTTTCTGTTCTATTTTTAAATATTTTTGCATATTTGATGATTGGTAAATTCAAATAATAGCTTAATTTATGATTTGAACTCCTTGCTAAATTTAAGTTGTTAAGACTTTAGCTAAATATGATAAATATTCATCACAATAATTTTGTTGCCCATTAAATAAAAGTAGAAGAAAACAATATCAAGAAATACTGGAAATTGATCTCAGATTATAATTGTAGCGCATACATTATGATTACCATTAATAAAGTCAACAGTTATTTTAACTGCTACTTTTGCTATAGTTTTAATGCCGAATACTTTCATAGATTATCCAAAAATTTTGGTATTGAATGAACAAAGTATAAAATGTAAATAAGTAGTTGAAGTTAAGATTTATTATGTGTTTCTTGAAAGTGTTTTGGATTTACAGAAATATTAAGAACAAATAAATCAATTTCAAAATTATTTTGTTTGAGATAGTACTCAGTTGGAAAGTGTTACAAATTATACCATTAAATATCCAGTATTTTGAATTGTAGCATTGACAACATCGTGCAAAAATCGAAACGGTGGTCGTTGTAGTAGCTGATCAGTTAAAGGAGGCCGTTCAATCAAGCCTACGAACAGTTCTCTCGTTTTATTCTTATACATTTTAAATACTTCCAGAAACTGAAAGTGAGAAATGCAGCGTTCATTTGCTCAGAATCTTGAATTTTGATCTAGCGTTCGTCAAGAATTAAGAAACACCTAAATTTAACACTATACCTGATAAATATTTCAGTCAGACAGCATTTCATGAAAGCCTTTAGTCAAAATTATTGAATCCTTTCGTTATAGAATCACAAGATTTATCAAATATAGTGTTAAATTTAGGTGTTTCTTAATTCTAGCAACTATAATCTGCATTTTTTTAATGGAATGGAAAGAAAGCTAGACCAGTTATCATATTTTTAATTTGTATCTGTCTATTAACAGTTTTCTTTTCTAGTCATTAAATTAATTGAAAATGAAAATTTTTCACCATGGAAATCTGAATCCAACTGTTTCATTACGAAAGCAAATGTTCCATTTTAGTGCACTAGATGGGTGATTGTTATAACATGTCCAAAATTTATTTAATGTATGCATAATTTAATCTTTGTATGTTGAATAAAGTAAGTGTGAATATTCAAAATTTTAGCAGATCATTTGAATTATTCTAAAAATTGCTTAAATTTTATTTATCCCTGAAAACATCATCAAAATGACGTTATTGCTTGACTCAATGTCAGAAGTTTGCAGTTTTAGAAACTATCATCTGGTGATAAGAAAAAATTTGAAACTCACTGTGCACTCATTGCTTTTTTCATGAACTTTGAACATGCATTTCTACACAGGCAGTAATTTTCTTTTCTTAACTACAAAATTGATCTAAAGAAAAAAAACTTTTTATTTTTGTTATATGGCACTGACAAATGATAACATTTTAGATTTCTAAAATCAAATTTCATTTTATGTATAAAATGTCCTAAGGCCTAATTTATATGGTTTTAGAGTTCCCTTATTGGTTTCTGTAATCAAACTTTTCTAAAATCTTGCTTCGATTGGTGTAAAAAAGAAGTTCCCATGAAAGCAACTAATCAAAATATAAATATAATAATTATATAAGAAACAAAGTAGCTACAGTGGTAGGAAAAATATATAGAATCAATTTATTACGACTGTGACACAAAGCAAAGTGGTGAAATGAGATGAGAAGTAAAAATCGAAGTATAAAAAATTCCCGTTTGGTCAAAGTTAACATTTGTTTGTATCTCTAATTGTTCAGTGTAATGCGATAGTTCATTTATATAAACAAAGGTACTAAGTAATCATTTTTTAATTATGCAACAGTGTCTGCCTCCTTACTTCTTTTGTATTTTTCTCTCAGACACTTTTCCATGGCAATGTATTGAATGTCCATTTATTTGCAGGAATGCAGGAAAAGTCCTTTTCATATCTATGTCAGTTGTTGTCGAAAATTTTTAAAATGAAAGAATTTCATGGTTAAAAACTCTCAGTTAGTCAAGTAGCTATAGCTATTGCTTTGATTGATGATAGATTACTTGTTTTTTCAGCGCAGAAAGATTTACACATTGATTACTTGATAAAGCATAAATTCTCATCTGTTTAATCATTGATTCATTCTCCATTCATACAATCAATGTCCCATTTTCCCTCACAAACAAATATTTTTCTGATCTTCTGATTATCAGTGGATAACGAAATAACGAAAAAGAAAAGAGTTGTAAAAATTATTCGAAATTTTTGAAGCATATTATTAACCAAGTTATGAATCACAATTAAAAGGTTCCTGTAAATTTCGCTTATTCTTATTAATTATTTTAATAAGTGATGCTAAATTGAACAACTTAAATAATTTTGAAGAATGAAGAATGGCGAGAAGGCTATAATATTGACAGCAGGTACGACATGTTATAAGTTTCTTATTCTAATTTTCTTCTTCCCTATGACACAACTTTTATGCTATAAATTACATAATGATTATAAAATACGACTTTTGAAGCATATATTTATGACTAAATTGAAAGTTTGAGTTACCTAAATGATACAACAGAATCTGTTCGTTAACTTAATAAATCATAACAATTTTTGGCGAGTTAAAAACTCAATTAAGTGTCAAAAAGTTATTAAGTATGACCACATAAAAGAAAAGAATTGGACAGAAAGGTTGGAAAGAATGGATGCTGTCAGTTTGTCAGTGAATTTAAAGCACATTTTTCTGCAATTTCCAAATCACATTGCAGTCTTTTAGCTAGAATATTACATAAGTCGCAGAATGTAATAAATATAATTAACAATAGAAAATTGCAAAACAGCCTAGCACGAATGATTCTGAAAGATAAATATAAAACTGCTTTAAGCTGAATGTTATAAGGTGGGACAATTGAGGTAGTCAAGGCAACAAATTACATATTATATATCTCACTGTCCCACTTTTATTTAACCAAGCTTCAGATGAACAAATAAAAGAACCATTTTGCCGTTAAAACATGATAAAGCTTACTAAAAATTTAAATTTCAAATTAGATGTTTAACTGAAGAGTTTCAAAGTTCCAGCCATCAAAACTAGTTCTGTCAAGTGAGGCCAAGTATTTATTTATTATTTATTTATTATTACTATTATTATTATTATTATTATTATTATTGTTACTAATATTATTGTTAATATTATAATTGTTGGTAATACTACTTATTATTATTAATATTTATTATTGTTATCAATTATCAACTGACTTCTGAGAATGTTTGTTAATCCACTTAAATTCCGTTTTCTTGACCATTTTTCTCAGTTATTTGTAATTCGCTTATAATTTATTAAAAATGCGTTCAATTCATTTATTTGAGCAGTAAAAAAAAATTCTCAGATGGCAATCCGAATGCAACACCCGAAATTAGCACTTTTTTAAGTGTTTACTTTTGTAATTTACTTTTGCACTTTTGAATTTTTTAATGAGTATAATTTTTTATTTTGATGAATAGGATTGATGCAAAACTATCATCAGATTCTTGACCATAGTATGATTGAACCCAGGTTATTGATCACATACCTTGGTCAACTTGAGATCAAAACTAAACTTATGCAGATAGGTAAGCATTCTAGACTGAAGAACTTTGATACTTCTTGTGGTTTTTTCGTTTTGAATTTTATGAAATAAATTAGTTTCAAATTGGATTTTTATATTATACTGGATTTCTAGACCACATGTTAGTTTTGTTTATTTCTGCTTCTGGTTATTAATAAAGCAACTAAGTCATGAGTTACATTTGTCATACATGCAAAACACGTTTTATTGCAAAATTCTCAGATGAAATATTGAATTCTTTTGAAAGCACTCATAAAGTAGTAAAGATTTTTAGTACAATGAGAACTATTAATGAATTTCTGCATTTGTCTGCCTGAATTTATGTTGTAATTTTTTTTCAGTCAAATTGCCTTGCTTTCCTATTTTTCTCTTGCACGAACGTCTGTCTGCCTTTCCTTTTTCTTATTACATTGTTCTTTTTACGTATTTGCTTTTTCATCATCAATTTTGAGACCGCTTTCGATCATTTAGTACAAAATCACTTTTAGTACAAATGTCTTCATCTTTGGAGCAATGTAGTGAGAATGATTATGCTGATTAAAGTGTGTATGCATCGTCAGAATACATTTCTAGATCGTATTTCAAGCAAAGCTAATATTTGAAGCACTCAGTTCAGAATAGTTTAATTTCGCATCCCAACTTCCTTACATGATGAATTTCCTTTACCGTTGAATACTTCTGAAACTGAACTCTTTAATTTTTAATTTAATCTACAAAAAAACCAGCGTTTTATCAGTCATATTTCTAAATCAAAAGAATAATTAGTAGCTAGCAATATTTCGATTATCTGTCTACATTATATTAGTTACCTTTATTGCAATTATCAAAAAATCATATTTAATCTTCAGCTTATTAGTGATAATTATGTTTTAAATTGTCTATAAATGCCTCAATAAAACGCTAGTGATCAGAATGTTTTTCATTACTGAAGCATGTTTTAATGCATTAGCACATTAGTAAAAATAATAAAGAGCAGTTTTTGGCTATATTATTTAGCCAATTTCTGAAGGAGTAAAATTCTGTTGCATGTAATAAAATTAAAACTGAACTCTAACAGTATTAAAGACTATTTTATAAAAGTAGTTCAAAATATGACTTTTTGATTAAAAATTTAAAAATTCAGATTTTAGCTCATTTATTATCGTATGCTATGCAAAAGATTACTAAATCTAGCAAGTAAGCAGAATTTATAATTAATCAAACAAATGAACAAATGACTCGCTAAAATATTCAGATCTACTTTTCTTTTCAACAAATTAATTCTATCTTTGACTGTAGCTTGAAATTTCGAAATGATTATTTTACGTGTATGGAGTATTTTTTTATATTTATGTCAAGCAGAAAAAATAGCCTTTTCATGAGATGACTGCAATATTTGAATTTGCAGTAAAAATTTTATTAATTAGAACTTTTGGGAAACTTGAAAATATTTTTCCTTTAGTTTTGACGATCAGCATAAACAATATATGTTGCTAAATAAGAATAATTTGCAAAACAGCTCGTAGACAACATTTCTCATTTTAGATTAAATTAGTGTCTTCTCTTCACATATTCACTCAATTTGTTCAAACATCAGTCTGAAAGAATTGCAGATTGTGCTCTTAATTTGAAACAACCCGCTTCTAATAAGAATTTAATTAGAACTTTTGGCAAGCAATAACTAAAACCACTCTTATTTTCGAAAAATACTACAATTTTTATGTGCAAAAAGCATAAAATATTACAAGTGAGGACAAGATATACCATAATAATATTTTGTATTTTAATACTAACTTCTATATCCCTTCAATTTTATAAAAAACACTCCAAGGTATTGGAACATCCTTTTTTAGAAGGCTTTTCATCTATATACTATAATAATTTTGAAACTGAAAAACTTTTAACTTGATGGAAATTAAAATGGTTTCATGCGAAAAAATTTCTTTCCTAGAAGCATTTTTAACGAATAAAAATAACGACTGATTTTTTAATAGTACCTGTGACAAAATTACTATAATTTTCTCGTGAATATTTAATATAGCAGAAATGATGAGAAAGAAATAAAAAAGCATGCAAAAAAACAGCAGTGTTTGCGACAGGTTATTTTTCAGAAATTTCTTTCTAGCACACATGTTTAGGATCAGTTTTACTCGTCTTGAGACAACAATCAAGGGTTTTGTTTATGCATCAAACTGAGAATCCCATAATACAAAAATAAAATTGTGACTTTCTAACTTACATTTTCATCGAATTTATTTTTCCTTTTTTTCCTTCAAAATATAAAGAAACCTTCAAAATTTATTGCAAGTACAAAGTTATTCACTGCTATTTTTTCTTGTGATTAAATTGCAAAAAAGAATTTAAATTATTTATAGTACTCAAATATAAAAAAAGTTATTAAGATTTGTATATTGTGATATCCCGTACCTTCTAAACGGTTTTGCTATATAGTGAAAGAAATTTTCTAGATAAGAGTAGGGAAATATGGAATTCATAATCTCGGTCATTTCGAAAGTCATGATGTACTAAAATTTTTTCTTTGCACTATTTTATTATTGCAGTCCAATCTTTTTTACTTTTATTTTTTTAAATATTTGTATAATCTGTAAAACAATTAAAAAAATTATTTTATCATTTACATCGCTCCAAATGTCTGTTGATAAACAATAATATTGGTAGAGAAACTAGTCTACGAACTATCATTAAATTCGATATCGTGAAAAGTTGAATAAAATGTGCCTCGATAGTTACACAATTTCACCTTTGCTATCCTATTTTTATTAAAATTGTTAACTATGGATAGCTTTGAAGTTTTTTTTTAGTAATTTCAGCAATAGACATTTAAAAATCGTAAAAAAATGGTAAAATTAAATAAAGCAACAAGATGCAGAATATCACAATATACAAATCTTGATATATCTCTTCTTTTATTTTTGAGTATTACAAAGAACCATGGTTTTTTTCTATCTAATCAAGAGGAAAAAGAGCAGTGAGTAACCTTGTTAGTAGTAATCAGTTTTGAAGTTTCTTTACTGTCGAAAAAAGAGAAAAATAAAATCTATGAAAATGTAAGTTGGAAAGTCACAATTCTGATTTTAATGTTCCGAATATATTGAAAAGATAAATAACAAACGTTATCACAAATTTTTGAATGCCTTTTTTCAAAAAGCAAAAGAAAACTTCATATTATTTGAAAACAAAGAAGGCATGCAAGCTTGATATGTTTCAAAAGTGAAAAAAATATTCAGTTCATGTTACGATCAAGAGGAATTATTGAAATGTAAAACCGAATAAACTAAACAAATTACTAGTACAAAGTAACAATATCAGTTACTGGGGTTGATATGTTTATTTTTCCGTGCTAAATCAAAAGTATCAAAAGTGGGATGTAGATAATTTGTTTGTAATTGCTTGATTGAAAAAATTAATTAATTCTTCATAAATCTAAATTGATAATGGATTATTCAATGAAATAAATTTTTTCGAAAAGCAAAACAAAGCTTCATATTATTTGAAAAAAATATCTTACAATACTTTTTTTTAAAAAGCCTAAGAACTATAGCAATTAAAAGTTCAAAGTATTATCCTGTAATTTTAATGAGCAAGATGTTTTTTTCATAACTAAATTAGATAAAAAATTCATTGGTTTTTCACTGTAAAAATGTTAAAATTGAAGTAAGACAAATTAATAAAGACAAGAGTACTTCCATTCATATTTAAAAAACCACTGATTTTTTCCTTTTTTAGTTTTATCAGTTCACTTTCGATATCACTCCTTAATCATTTATTGAAGGTGAAAAAAAGATAAAGTATGTGCAGGTAATTTCCTCTCAAACTTATAAATTTTTATGAAAAAGAAGTAAATGCAATCACTTAAAATGATTTGGAAAAATGTCCAATTGCTGAAATGAAATTGTAGTGGCAGATAGAAACGGATATATTTTCAATTCATTTACATCTGGATTTATTTAGTCATGAATTATTTATGTATGAACGTGTGCCTAAAAGAGTGAAATTAGTTTTTGAATTAAAATGAAAACTTCATTTGTTGCTGAAGATTTCATAGATAAATGAGGGATGTAAAGTAAGTTTGATGGGCAGAAGTGTTGGTTGATTTAGATGGCAGGTATGAAAATATGCCTTAAGGGTATGACGAAAATTCCTCGGTAATGAGTAGCGCGCACCAACAACTACTTTGTCAATCTCTTCTACATACTTTCTTTTTTTCAGCAAATTGTTGGTGAAGGAATGACAAGGAATAGGAGGAGAAATGTCCAAATGATCTGATCAGGGTGTGCTCATTGAAAAACGAGTTTCTGAAGTGTACTGGTGTTTCTCGTATATAAGAGAAGCGCAGAATTGTTGAAGCATGCACTGTTTTGCTCCATTTTGCTTACAGAAGGCGAAGAAGAATAGTTTCATTACGATCAAACAAATATGGATCTTGATGGTCGCATTAAGGCCTATCGTTTCGTCGCCTATTCAGCTGTAACTTTTTCGGTGGTTTCGGTCTTATCTGTTTGTATTACCTTGCCTATGGTTTACAATTATGTGCATCATGTACGTCAACAAATGCAAAACGAAATCACATTTTGTCGGGTATGCTATTCCTCTCCTTTTATAAAACAGTTTTAGATCAGATCTGCTTACTTTTATTCGTATGTTTAGGTTTAAAAGCTCATTGATTTTCACCGTGTTAAATCTTTCATTTCTCCATCAACAATTTATTTAATGGGAAGGAACTTTTTGCTTCTGTATCACTAATAATTGATTCACAATTTAGGACGCTCACTATATTAGTTTTTTAGCTCTCTCTCCAGTATATAAATTAAAATAAATATTATAATTATCAACATTTTCATAGTATATGTCTTTTGTGGTATAGTGGAAGTGACAAATTCGTAACTAGCAAATGTATATTAGGAACATAGCATTGTTATATATTTTCATATATTCCTCATTTCATTCTTGTACTGGAGTAATGCAAGTTTTTAAAGGTGTTTGAAATTTCTATCAGTTGAAAAACAATTTGGTTAGTATTGCACATCAATTGACTGCCTGACTTTAATCAAAAACTAACAATTTTTTGCTGGATTTCTATTTCGTTTTTTCTTTGATGAAAGTGTTCGACATTTATTCGCTTCACGTCATATGACTTCTAAGTTCATTCTTCTGCTTGATGAGTGGGCAAGTTTATCAAACGTTGCTATTTAAGAGAAAAAGAAAAATGGGCGAATAATTCTTGTGTACAGTTGTAATCGAATTTTTTAAGCTAAATAGTTGATTCCATCTTCATTGAATTCGCATCTTTCATAATCCTTTTTCCAGTACCTTTACGCCTAATATATCACGTTTTCACGTTTTGAAAATTGCTTCAGTATTAAAATTATTACTTTCTGCACATAGTTTGCCTATTACATACAAGAGATTTCGTATCGACTTTGATGAAAAAAGAGAGTATCTGTCTGCACCTAAAATTTCTTTAAACCAAAGAAGTTTTCTTTTTTCGACCTTGAAAGAACCTTTTCATGTTGGATGAGTGTTTCAGTAGTTGTCATGTCGAAAGATAATTTACATTTTATGTTCTTTCATTCATTCATTATAAAAGAAAAGTGTAATTTACAATTTATCGACTTAAGAAAGTGAAAAGATTGGCATGAACTTATTACATATTTGATACCTTTTTAGGGATCAGCAAAAGATATATGGGCAGAAGTACATGAATTAAAGAATATACCAGCCGTAAAGAACCGCACATCTCGTCAAGCTGGTTATGGGAGCGTAGACGCAGGAGTGAGCGGTGGTCAGGCTTCGCAAGGGGGTGCCTGTGATGCATGCTGCTTACCAGGACCTCCAGGACCAGCAGGTGCTCCTGGCAAACCAGGTAGACCAGGTAAACCGGGAGCACCCGGCCTACCAGGTAGTCCTGGAAAACCACCAAGTCAGCCTTGCGAACCAGTCACACCACCACCGTGTAAACCATGTCCACCAGGACCACCCGGACCACCCGGACCTCCTGGACCACCTGGAGATGTTGGCCCACCAGGAGCACCAGGTGCATCTGGAGCAGATGCACCACAAGGCGAACCTGGTCCCAAAGGACCGCCAGGACCAGCTGGAGAACCTGGACCACCAGGGCCACCAGGAGACCCAGGAACACCTGCTCCAAGCGAACCAGTTCTTCCTGGAGAAGCTGGAGCTCCTGGTAATTCTTCTGCTTCCTGCACTTCCAGTAAAATGCTCCTCGACACGTCACGTTTTCGAAGCAATAAATTTAACCTATCACCACATAATACATTCATATCCAATATATGGACATACTATCCCTTAAAAAACTGTATTAAGAAAATATGCTATTTTAGGAGAACCTGGGCCACAGGGACCACCCGGGCCACCTGGTCAACCGGGTAGTGATGGCTTGCCAGGTCCTGTAGGTCCGAAAGGACCACCAGGACCGGATGGTCAACCAGGAGCAGATGGCGCACCTGGACAGCCGGGACAACCAGGACCACCTGGAACTCAAGGAGAGAAAGGCATCTGTCCGAAGTATTGTGCCATCGATGGTGGTGTGTTCTTCGAAGATGGTACTCGGCGTTAAATCGTAAAATCTTCAACTGCATTATTTGATAAATTCCTTATTTTGTACCAGATTGCTACTTTGTCGCCAAATTATGTGCAGAGTACCTAAATAAATTTCCAAGCACCTAACGTGAGATACAAGAAGTTTAAACTAATGCTTCTTTT